CTCTGCTTGGTAAGTTTCGTCATTGCCCCCCCTGCCATCGAGTCTAGAAGACAGCGTCACTAACCGGTTTGATAGGAACCAATGCATCGCCGAGACCTGCAACCGTTTCCCCATTGATCTGTACCACATTAACGATTACCACGGCGCTATTGCTCCTCTTTACCTGCTTCCCAAGACGATCCCAGTTGCTCTGTCTCTTCACAACGCCGAGTTCCAGGGTCTCTGGCCGATGCGCACTCCTGAGGAGAGCAAGGAAGTCTGCAAAGCTTACAACTTGAGCATCGAGGTCGTTAAGAAGTACGTTCAGTACGGCTCAGGTAAGAACCCCCCCCCCCCCCTCTCCCCATCATCCACGCTTCCCGCCCCCTTGGCACGCGTCCTGACAAGAAGCAGTTTTCAACCTTCTCCACGCTGGCGCCAGTTACCTCCGCGTCCACCAGAATGGATTTGGTGCCGTCGGTGTCTCCCGCAAGTACGGTGACCGTTCGTTCGCTCGTTACCCTATTTTCTGGGGTCTGTCCAAGGTTGGCCAGCTGCCCAACCCCGACCCCACGGATACCGCCGAGTGGGACAAGACCGACTTCATGAACCAGCCCAAGATCGAGGTCGACCCTGCCTACGAAGCCGGCCGTGGTGACCTGAGAAGACAGGCTCAGGAATGGGCCGGACTCAACGTCGATCCCGAGGCCGAGTTGTTCGTCTTCGTCGGACGTTGGTCTCTGCAGAAGGGCGTATGTGACCCCCCCCCCCCCCCCCCCCCCCCCCCGTTGGAACGTAACATAGGTGCGTTCGGCATCTCGCACCAGCAAACAATAAGCCACTGGTAGGCACAAGTTCAGATCTTAGTCACGGACTAGCCCTGAACTAAACATAAAGGCTCAAGTTCGACGATAATAGTTAAATCCGTAAGGAAAAGTTTGCTTACTAGGTATGACACAGTCCTGAAGCCTGCCTTTCACGATCCTCGCGATTAGTTGGGACGCGGGCGTCCTATGCGCCGAATATCAGAAGTTGATGAAAACAGACATAATTACACATTAAAGTTTGGTTTGAGCAATACTCGTAACTTGCAAGAAATGAGAATGCAGAGGTAGCAAGCGCGTTGCGTACATGGGTCCAAGTGTCGGCAGTCACCGAAGAGCAGACGAGACGGTATCTGGGCACAATTCAATAGTTGGGTCCGGGAAGCAGAATCAGGTCTCTAACAGAACGTCCTGTTAAGTTCGCAGCCGAGTCATACCTATGCTGTCAAAACATTGTATGGCTATGCACAGTAGGCGATGTCGGTGGACCGCCCTGAACGTAAGTCCTAGACCTTGAACTTCGGAGCCAACAAGCACGGGAACTTGAAAACAATCGCAATAGTTCGCGGGAAATGGCTGTTCTCGAGCTCAAAAGGTGCTAACGCGCAAATAGGTTGATCTCATCGCCGACATCTTCCCATGGGTCCTGGATACCTACCCCAAGGCTCAATTGATTACCATCGGACCCATGATTGATCTTTACGGACGCTTCGCCGCTCTCAAGCTCGCCAAGCTCATGGAGCTCTACCCCGGTCGCGTGTTCTCCAAGCCCGAGTTCACCGCCCTCCCGCCTTACATCTTCAGTGGTGCCGAGTTCGCCTTGATCCCCTCCAGAGACGAGCCTTTCGGTTTGGTCGCTGTCGAATTCGGCCGAAAGGGAGCTCTGGGTGTCGGTGCCCGCGTCGGTGGTCTCGGTCAGATGCCCGGATGGTGGTACACGGTCGAATCGACCAAAGCGGTATGTCTCCTTTTCCCTTGCTTTTCTACCTTGTGGAGAAGAAAACACAACGTGACTGACCTGGACCCCCCCCCCCCCTCTCGTAGGCCCATCTCACCAAGCAGTTCAAGCATGCCATCAAGGACGCCCTCGAGACGGACACCAAGACCCGAGCCATGATGCGCGCCTGGTCCGCCAAGCAGCGATTCCCCGTTGCCGAGTGGCTCGAGAAGCTCGAGAAGCTCCAGGGCGGCGTCATCAAGGCGCACGCAAAGTACGGTAAGAAGGGTGTCAAGAAGGGCAACGTCCTCGTCAAGCACAGCCGCGCCAGCTCCATCGCCGCCCCCCTCCGCAACGACGTCGAGCTCGTCGACCGCACCCCGGCGTGGATGCGCCAGGTGTCCGACTACGACGACGACGCGACCACGCTCCACGGCGGCCGCAACACCTCCGGCATGCAGACTCCCAGGTACCCCAGCACTCCCGGCTCGCCCTCCATGTCCCCGGTGGCCATGTATGCCGACTCGCCCTACAGCTCCCGCGCGGCCTCGCCGGGGCCGTACAACCGCGATCCCCAGCATGGCCGCAACGTCTCGGGCAACTCGGCCCACGAATTCGGACACGGCCGCAACTTCTCGCTTCCGGGACCTGCCGGGCAACAGCACCACCAGCCGGCGCACAGCCGCGACGCCTCCGGTTTCTCCATGGCCGACACCCTGCCGCTCCCGCCCCCGGGACTAGGCCTGGGCATGCAGCAGGACAACACCTCGCGCGCCTCCATGCTCAGCGTCGAGGACGTCGTCGGCGACAGGCACGACTACAAGCTGCAGCAGGTCGACCCCTTCTTCACCGACTCCAACGGCGAGTTCTACCACCACTTTGAGGAGAAGCTCAAGAGCCTCAACGCCGGCAACTCCATGTCGGACCTGTGCATCGAGGACTACCTCATCAAGAGTGAGAAGGAGTGGTTCGACATGTACCTCGACGCCCGGCTCGGCCGCGCCGCCTCCCCGTCGTCGCCGCGGGGCAGCTCGAGGTCGCGCCCCTCGTCGCCAAACGCCTCCAAGCTGAGCCTGGGCGTGTTCAAGAACAGGTCCTCGTCCAAGCTGAGCCTGCCCCTCGAGCGCGAGCGCGGCCGCAGCAGGTTGCCCTCCGGCCTGATGAACAGCCGCGTGCCCTCGGACAACAACGGCTACAACGACCGCTCGCCCCCGGACTCCCCCGGCTCCTACAACGCGCAGTTCGACCTCCCCGAGGACTACGTGCCCCCCACCGGCTTCAAGAAGTACCTCCAGTACCGCCTCGGCGACTGGCCCGTGTACTCGATGCTCCTGGCGCTCAACCAGATCATCGCCACCAACTCGTACCAGGTGACGCTGCTCACGGGCGAGGTCGGCCAGACGGCCTCCAAGCTCTACATCATCGCCTCCGTCTACCTCGGCTCCTCGCTCGTGTGGTACACCATGTCGCGCACCGTGCCCCTCCTCTACCCGCTGTCCGTCCCGTACATCGTGTACGGCATCGCCTTCATGCTCCTCGGCTTCTCCCCCTTCGCCGCCGACAACAGCGGCCAGGTGTGGCTCCAGAACGCGGCGACGGGGCTCTACGCCTTCGCGTCCTCGTCCGGCTCGCTCGCCTTCGCCTTCAACTTCGGCACCGACGGCGGCTCGACCGTCCCCAAGTGGATCCAGCGCCTCGCCATCATCCAGGGCCTCACCCAGCTCTACACCCTCGCCCTCTGGGCCTGGGGCAGCCTCGTCTCCGAGGCCGAGGCCAACAGCGTGGCCAAGCCCACCCTCGCCGGCTCGCCCTGGCTCCTCGCCGTCTGCGCGCCCGCCGCCCTCCTCCTCTGGGCCGTCGGCGCCATCCTCTACCTCGGCCTCCCCGACTTCTACCGCGAGATGCCCGGCCCCATCCCCCAGCTGTGGCTGACGCTCCTGAAGCGCAGGACCATCGCCTGGTACCTCATGGCCGTCTGCATCCAGAACTACTTCCTCAGCACCCTCTTCGGCCGTAACTGGTTCTTCCTCTTCTCGTCCCAGCACGTGCCCGTCTGGAGCATGGTCATCCTCGCCCTCTTCTTCTTCATCTTTGTCTGGGCCATCGTCCTCTGGGGCCTGGCCAAGGCCAGCGAGAGCCACCCGTGGCTGTTCCCCATGTTCGCCGTCGGCCTCGGCGCCCCGCGCTGGGCCCAGATCTGGTGGGGCACATCGCGCATCGGCGTCTACATGCCGTGGGCCGGCGGCGTCGTCGCCGGCGCCGTCCTCAGCCGTATCCTCTGGCTGTGGCTCGGCGTCCTCGACGGCCTCCAGGGTGCGGGTATCGGCATGATCCTCATGCTGACCCTAACTCGTGTTCACGTCGCCGCCGCCTGCGTCGGGGCCCAGGTCCTCGGTTCCATCTTCACCATGCTTGGCCGCGCCACAGCCCCCAACAACGTCGGCCCCTCGACTGTCTTCCCCGACATCAGCGAGGGTCTCGGCGTCGCCTTCGCCAACGGCTGGTTCTGGGTTGTTTTGCTACTCAACCTGTTCATCTGCTTTGGCTACTTCAAGTTCTTCAGAAAGGAGCAGGTCAGCAAGCCTTAAAAGACATGTTTTTTTTTTTTTTTTTTTAAAAAAAAGGCTATGAAATGTGTTTTCGGTTATATGGGAGGATAGAGCATTTCCTGTAATTTTCTTTGAGTAGATACGAACCTCGTAGTAACGACCCCAACCTACCACGGTAATAGCGTTAATGGCATTGATTCAATAACCCTGTGTGGTTCTGTCTCAAGCTGGGTTGCCCCCGGCATGTGACGATCACTTCCCACTTCGAGAATGCCCGTCAATGTCCACCGAACCAGAACCGCTTGGAATAAATCGTAATCAGCGTTTGATTGGTCCCATGTATACGATGCAATCTAAAAGAGTATCGGCGACACCCGTGACGGGATAACCGAGAAGCGGTTCTTCAACCCTCAAAAAGGCTTTGTTGGGGAGGGTCTTCGGAAGCCCGGCTCTGCAGAGCCACCATGGCCCAGCATCCTTCCATATTGCGCGTTATGCATGTCTTTATAGTTTTCCCCGTCGCAATCAAGGCCGATCCGTCCAATAGCTGCAGCGTGAATACCTTCTGAACGCAATTGTATTTATAGTGCCGGCCTTCTCCTCCTCTGGTTTGTAGTCTCTGTCTAGCTATGCTCTCTCTGTAGGAATACGTTACCTCGTCCCGCTCCCTTGCTTTCTTCCCGTCAGCACTTCGATCCCGCATATACCATCATGAAGCTGTCAGTAATCCTCGCCACGTTGGCGCTTGCCGTCTCTTCGGCGCAAGCGTGTGCCAAGTACAAGAACTGCTGGTGAGATTTGGTCCCCTCTAGCTTGCCCGGCAGGGCCAACTTGACTGACCTTTTTTCCAAGGTGCGTGAGGAACAACGTCGAGTACCAGGGCAGGATCCAAGACATCGCCTCGGACGAGGACACGGTGAAGGCCTGTGCCGGCACCGGGGATCCTGGCTACTACGGCCAGAACTTCCAGGAGTGCCACCGGTACAAGCACGGTTGGTGGCCCTTTACCAACTTCAAGGCCATCAACAACTGCGAATGGACAGATGTAAGCAGGTTCCCGCCGACCGGCGACGCCCCCCTGAGGACGACAGGGACGCGATGGCTGACGTTTTTTTTTTTTTCGATAGAAATGCGTTGCTGCCGGCGCTACCATCGGATACTGCCGTGATAAGATTTGATAGGCTGCCAACGGTGAGAATAGCCCCGATCAGTGTTGTCGGCACGATTACTTGGACGGGATGTTTCCTCCGGATGCCGGTCATACTCTCTCGCGCGCGCGCGCACACACACACACACACACACACACACACACTCAACCACGCTCCGGCCGTGGCCACTTCTGAGCCGAGAGACTTCTGAGCCGAGAGACTTCTGAGCCGAGAGACTTCTGAGCCGAGAGACTTCTGAGCCGAGAGACTTCTGAGCCGAGAGACTTCTGAGCCGAGAGACTTCTGAGCCGAGAGTGCACCTAGCACCAGGCAAAAGGATGTAAAGGAAGCGGTCAGACATATGGGGACAGAACGTGTTGATACCGAGAGGGCCGAGGTTCGCTATCCGTAGGAAGCCAGCCCGAGAAAAGGCTCGACTCGACGCCAAGCGCCAACCCCCCCTTGTTCGTATCGCCGAGAACCTGGAGACCCAACCCGTCATCTGTAGCCGAGGGAACGTGGAAGCTGGGTTTTAAAAAAAGACTGTGATCGGCTAGTGAAAAGGAAAGGAGACCATGTGAAGACGGAACATGGTGAACACTGGCACTCTCGTGCATACATATAGAGAGACGTTGGTTTGAAAATGAAAACGGGTTGCCTTTCGACCAACTACTTTTCTGCTATAGCTGTCGCACCAAGCGGGGAGAAGGTGATACTTCCCCCCCCAAGTCATATACGTCGTCAAGATATCCAACTTTTTGAGAAACGCCCCGTGTCAGACCGCAGCCCCGGGCCCGAGCCCCTCACTTTAGCAGATGCCCGTCGGACGGAACCCCCTCCGGCCTCTTCCAGTGCACCGGCACGGCGCCCCAGCTCTCCTCGCTGTACTTCTGCTGCACCTTCTGGCACGTCCGCAGGCCCCACTCGGTGACACCCACCATGGCGCAGCTCTCGAACATGAAGGCGCAGCTGCCGGCGCCGACCTTGGCCGGCTTCAGCTCGGCGTTCCTCGCCCCCTCGCCGCTCTCGGCGTCCGGGCCGTGGCCGCTCATGGTGTTGTGCAGGCTCGCGCCGCCCGGCACGAACCCGCCGGACCCGCCGCGCTTTGCGTCGTAACCGCCGGTGATCAGCCCCATGAACTCGGACATGGTGTTGCGGTGGTAGTAGGGCGGGCGGAAGGTGTCCTCGGCCACGAGCCAGCGCGGCGGGAAGATGACGAAGTCGGCGATGGCGGTGCCCGGCACGCCCGAGGGCGCCGAGAGGACGGTGAAGATGGACGGGTCCGGGTGGTCGTAGGAGATGGTGCCGATGGTGTTGAAGCGGCCGAGGTCGTACTTGTAGGGGTAGTAGTTGCCGTGCCACGCGACGACGTCGAAGGGGGTGTGCTGCTGCGTGGTCTCAAAGTAGTCGTTGTTGAACTTGACCGTCACGGTGTAGCTGCCCGACCCCTCGTGAGCCGTCGCGCCAAAGTCCTCGCTGAAGCAGGCCACGGGCACCTGGAAGTCGCGCGGGTTGGCGAGGCCGTTGGTGCCGATGGGGCCCAGCTCGGGCAGGACGAAGTGGCCCTGGTACAACTCGAGGGCGTAGCCCCGGGCCGGGCCGGCCGGGAGGTGGACCTGGTACTTGATGCCGCGGGGGATGACGGCGACTTCGAGCGGGCGGACGAGAAGCCAGCCGAGCTCGGTACGGATGTCGAGGGGGCCCTCCTGCGGGACGATGAGCAGGTCGCCGTCAGCCGAGTAGAAGGCGGCAGTGTCGTCCATGCTCTTGCCAGCGGCGTAGACGTAGATGCCGATGCCTTGCTTCAGCGTCGGGTCGCCCGCGCCGGCGACGAGGCGCATGCCAGCAACAAAGTCCCAGTTCGTGGCCTCATCGTGGTCGAACGGGTCCCAGCGCAGCTGGTTGGGGATATACTGCAGCTTGGACGGCTGGGCTCTTGTCTCGGGCGACGGGGCGGTGGTCGCGGTGAAGGGCGGGTGGGCGCACGAGGGGAGGATGCGGTAGAGCCAGGCCTGCTTGTTGTCGTGGCGCGGCGCGGTGAAGGAGGTGCCCGAGAGCTTCTCGGCGTAGAGGCCGTGGGGAGGCTTTTGTGGAGAGTTTTGGCCGATGGGAAGGGACCCGGGGACGGCTTCGGATCTGTGAATAGGGAAGTGTCAGCGTGCTGGCATCGTGAGGGGGTTCAGTCGGCAAGGTTGATATATAGGGATGTGAATGGAATCAAGAACGCCACGGAGGGGACGGCAGAATGTGTTGCACGTACTCGAGGTGGGAGTCGAAGCCGATCTGGTAGCGATACTTCTCGGGGAAGTCGAAGCTTGTGACAGGCATGATGGCGGAGGGATGGGAGGGTTCTCAAGCTTCGGGTGAGTCTGGCTTGATGGCCGGTGGTGGTTGGAGATGGGATCGGTCTGGTCGGGACGAAAAGGAAGGACACGGCGTTCTAATATCCTCCCCCTCCCGCCTCTCTAGCTCCCCGCCTCTCGGACCATTCTGTATGACGTTGGGGCAAGATGTCCGTTTTGGCAGTGATTCCAGTTCCGCGGTCGACGGCGTGCTAAAGTCGTCGAGAAGCGACGACTGCCGATGGTAGCCGGGCAGGGGTGGCGGCATCGGTTCCTAGGCTTTCCAATTCCGATTTCCGGATTGGAGACGTGAGGGGAAACCCGCTCGGGCACTTGCTCACTCAGGTAGGCAGGACAGGGCCTTGGAAATAGAGATGGCGGGGATTATTCCGTAGATTGCCTTTCGGATTGGATTCGTACGTCCAATGCCCTCGTAGAGCTTGTTATGGGACAAGACTCCATTGATGCTAGGCAGAGGTCGGCTTGTCTGTACAAAAAGGTTGTTTGTATTTAGTCAGCCTCGGTGGAGCCCGACAGTTTGATGGCGGCGGCGGCGAAACAACGTCTCGAGCTCTGCAAGGAGCATCTTTACCAGGCCGAGGCATAGGGAGTAAGTCGATGGGCATGCCGTGTTGGTCCAAGTTACATATCCGTTGGTGGCAGTTTAGATGATTCCCGCTCGGTGCGCTCAGGACCCTAGTCCAACCGGGTTGTGTGGGTCACGATGGCTGCAGGAAAGCCGGAATGGACGCACCGGACGACATGCCACTCCGATGACAGAAAATTGAGCTTCACATGCAACGGTGGGGGCGTGGCTTTATTCCGCGAACCACGTAGACAGATATATCACAAGCTTATGTACGGTAAAAGTGACGAGGTCAACGAGTCTATTGAGCCAATGGCCAAGCTGTTACCACTAAAACCCATTCGCTCAACGGCCTGACGACATCGACCACCATACTAATAGCTGTACACCTTGGGAGCGTCAAGCTCCAAAGTAGGCATCGGTGACCTGGGGTACACCCGCGTTTGGTCAAATTTATCGCAATATCCCGTTGCGCCAAGTCGCCGCTCCGAGGCAGAGCGAGGCAGCTTCTCGGTCACCAAGTATTGGGCCAGGTGCCAGGTGACATGCGGGGGGCTTTACTCTTCGGCTTCGGCCTTCTTGTTCTTCTTCTTCTTGCCGCCGCCGCCGAAGGCGCTGCCTCCTGTCGCGGGTTGCTTCTGGAGGTGAACGACCAACCGGGTCCAGCACTCTTCCTTATCCCATTCGAAGCCTGCCAGGTACGGCTTGTCGAGTTCGTCATCCGCCTATTGTGGATTAGCACAGGTCTACTTACTTATTTTCGGGAGATGGTGGTTTCTTACCCTCTTCTTATATGCCTTGTGGATGGCGTCCAGTGCGTCCTTTATTGTTACGCCCTTGAGGTTGCGTGCCGTGACTTCCATGCCGAGGGGGAAGTGTAGGTCAATCTTCTTGACTGGCGGCTGCGAGAGCGGCAGCTTGAGGATTTCCTTGTCCTCCACTGTCGAGGACGAAGTGTTGATCTTCCTGCAAGGGGTCAGCCATTGGCACGGAAGTGGGAGACCCCCCCCCCCCCCCCCCCCGACACCACGTCATTCAAGGACGGATGACATGCTAAACTAAGGTGACGTGACTTACCATCCTGTCCGTTGCGTTTCCGGGGCGAGCTCCAGCTCAATCTTTTGTTCTTCTATTACAGGGCACCCAATGTCAGCGGGGTCCCGAGGCACCCGAGTAATCGCTCGGTGAGGATTTGGCGAGGGCAGGGCCGGGACGGGGACGTACCGAGGTCTTTGATGTTGTAGACGCCGGGGGCGGCGGCCGAGGATTGACGGCGGGTCTTGTGCTCCTTTGGGGGGGACTGGGAGAGACCTCCGACAGCAGAGTCGACCTTGGTAAGCGGTTCCGTCATGGTGGCGATTGGTTGTGGTTTTGTGTAGTGTTTGTGGACTGTCTGGTGGAAGCAACAAGGTCAGCTACCGAAGCTTCCGGTGCATGTGAAGGGTGAGCTTCCTCGGATCCAGGAACGAGAGCTCTCTTGGTTGCCAATGGATGGGGGAAAGGGAGGGGTGGCTATTATTACCTAGTGATGAGTAGGCGGTGTTTGAGTGTGAGATGGATAGAAGGAGGAGAAGTGGGATGGAGAGGGGATTAAGAAGGGAAGAGGATTGGGGGGAGGGGGGAGAAGAGGAAGGTAGATGGATGTCGATGCGGTCGGGCGTCTGACCTCGTGGTGCCGGTCCAAGACAGGCAAAAAAGAGAGGGGTCGAGAGGGGTGAAAGGGGCAGGTCGAGGAAGGATAGGCAGTATAGCTAGGATGTATCCGATGTTCCGACGGGTAGTGTGAAGGGCGGGAAATACATGGCGATGTATTGAAGTACTTGGATGTATCTAGGTATTGGATGCGTAGCGGTGCCATTCAGGTCGAGCTATGGCAGGGAAGGGCAGGACAGGGCAGAACAGGGCAGGACAGGGTAGAGCAGAGCAGAGCTCAGCTGCCTCCCTCCCTTGTCCATGGAGAGCGAGGGCGGGCCGGGTTAGACTGGTGATGCATTACGGTTTCGTCAGACCGGGCGGGGTAAACGCCCATCAATGGCGCCGGCAGAGGATCGCGTGACACGGGAAAGCTCATGAGATGAGATGCGTTGCGTTGCGTTGCGAGGATGCAAGCAAGCAAGCAAGCAGCGACGGGTGGTCCGGGCTGGCAGGGAAGGGATGACCATCCATCCTGGGTGCCTGGATACCTCGGCCATCTTTTGGTGCTCAGAAGAGAAGAGAAGCGAAGCAAGCGAGACTGACTGATTGACTGACCTGCTGCTCTGGTGTCGGGCATGCGACACGGTGAGAATGGGATGAGAGTCAAGGATGGGAGCAGCTCATGGTGGTCTGTCACTGGTCTGTCATTCGAGTTGGCTGATTGTCCGAAACGGGCATGGACCAAGGCACATACGGGGGGGGGGGTAGGTATCTCTCTACCTACCTTGCCTGTGTACGTACCCAAGGTGGGCAGGTGGGCAGGTGGGCAGGCATATAGGGTAGGTACCTACTTAATCGTACCTACCCAGGTAAGGTACCTACCTACCTACCTAGGTAACCTTCCTTCCATAAAAGTCTGGGGTAAAAATCCGGGGAAGGGGCCAACCAGAAAAGGCAGAGAGAGAGAGAGAGAGAGAGAGAGAGAGAGAGAGAGGAGTCGGAGACGGACTCTGCTGCACCTGAGGGCAGTACTACCTAGGTATCTACGGATAGTCTGGCGCTTTAAACATGGCCGGGCCCACTCCTCCCGTCTTGTCTCGTCTCGTCATGTCATGCTATGGGGGAGGAATAAGGAATCCCCCTTCTTCAAGATAACATCCATCTACACATTTCCCATTCCTCGGCAGAGTCCCACAAGATGCTCCAAACATCAGAGCCAGAAACAGGAACAGGAACAGGAACAGAAAGATCAGACCCTGGCGCAGCAGACCAGCGTCATGTCGTTCCCACAGCGGGGTCGCGCTGGCATCCAGTGGAACCACAAACAGCCCATCCCTCACCTGATTCAAACAAAAACCGCCACTTTGACCAACCTTGCCGTGACATACTGTACGTACGCTGTACACGGCACCCCCCACACCCGTCGACTGGACTGGCACACTACCTACACTGACTGGTGAGGAGGCCGACACTCACGGCGCATGCGATGACGAGGACGGGCTCGGAATCGAGTGACATGATTTGCCAGGCCACTTGGATAGACTTTCGATCGACGCCCTCCGGAGGGCCCTTCATTGGACTGTGCCGGCCCCAGTGCCGCCTGAGTTTGTCACTCCAAGTCACCATCTCCCTTGAGTAGGTAATACCTGCACATGCTCCTCCTCCTCTCCGATAAGTGGTACTACCTAGTTCCATCATCAGACCCTGATATAAGCCCATCTGCATCCCTACAGCTCTCTACTTTTCCACCGTCCTAGCGCAGTTCCGCTTTCATTGCTGCAGTCTAATTACTGTACGCCATGCCTTCATCCTCCCAGTCTCGCCCTGTTTTGTTCATCTTCTCCTTCAACTTCAACCATCGTTTCTAGCCCGGGCTATCGTGACCCGCATCACATCGCATGCTTTACGTTGACAAAGTCGTCTCGAATTGAGCAACAGAAGCAGCTACATAATGTCGCCACGGTCCCAGATTCCCACGCCGTCCTAGTGTCTCGTTCACGTCTCGCCCGTACGCATCACATGACATGACATGGCATCGTATCGTATCTAGCTATCATATCCTATCGTCGGCACCTGCGTCCTCTGCTACGTCCACCTTCGCCACGTTGCTCCCCGTACTTCTCGTCTCCGCTGTCGCTTCCTTCCGCCCATTACCTGAAGACCTCACGCCAGTTCGGCCATGCCCGTCCGTCCGTCATGGCCCCAATGCCTCGAATTTATTCGCTCCTCCTCAGTTGCTCCGTTGCACCCAGTTCCACCACGCATCCACGTGAAATGCCTCAATGACTCTACTATATCTCGCTACCTTTCGTGACGATTGACTACGGTGAGTGTTGGTTGGCCCCCCTATCTGCCGCTAATGGTTCAGTTGGACCATCACCGTCCCGACCAGCCAAAGCACGAATGCATTGTCTCTCAAACTGCCTGCCCTACGGCACCGAATAACTACGGATGATTCGGCCTGCTTGCTGCGCCTCGCTACACCCCCCCGTCGTCGACTCTGACGCTCCCGATCCCCTCGGTCCGCCTTGGTGACCACCTCAAAACTTCCCTGATGGCGTTTCCCCGCATCAACAAGGTTCAGACAGTGTTGTAATGGGTTCTACAAACAGCCTAAACCATTTGCGCTTTAGGTGGACAAGCTCAGATCCATTCATGCCCCGAGTTTGGTCTGGCTAACATCAAGTGGCAGAGCGAAGCAGGAACCCGGTGTTGGCCTCGCTAGGCCTTCAAGTACACATGGTACCATACGACGGCCCATTTTCTTTTCCCAAGGATAACCGCACATCGGAACCAGCCTCCAGGTTACGGCTACGACGAAGCGCGTGGAGAGGAGGGAGGAATTCGATTTTGGAGAGAGAGTGAGGGCAGGATGTTAGGGGAGGTGGCAGGACGGACGGGAGCTTGGACTCTCGCCACCAGGCTTCACGCAGGCGGGCAGACCATCACTGAGCGGGGTCGCCCCTCAATAGCAGCTGCACCTGCACTAACTGCGCTAGAGAGCGTGGAAGGTGCAGGAGCTAAGAGAGAGCTTTCCCTGAGCTGAGTGTTCAGCACGTCGCCAGACATGACATGGTCTGTGCGCATATCGCTGTCGATAAGCCATCTTATCTTATCTTATCTCAATCCACAACCCCGCTCTGCTTCTGGGTACTTCCTCCACCGTATGTGCGCTCGTGCTGTCACGGACGAGCAACGAACAAAGTCCAACTCTGACCCCGTGAACGACGTTTGCTTCGTTCAACCACCCTCTCTCTCCTGTGGCTGCTACCACGAGTCGTAACCGCCCAATTTCTCAGCATCTGTTTTCCGGCTCAGACTAGAGATCCCTAGCTATGGCTGTCTTGACCACCACCTTGAAGGTACTTACACGCGATCCTTGGCGGGGCCTTTCTCTGCTCCCGCAAGCCAGCTTGAGCTGACACCCGACCAGGCTACGCCTTCCTCCATAGCTGGGAGGTGCTCATCGACACCATGAGCGACCCCGTCTATAAAGACATGGTCTCGCTTACATGTGGCTCAGCTCGCGTGTAAGAATATCCAGGCGAGAAATCGTCTGGTTGTTCAGTATGAGGTGGCGCGTAATCAGAAGTAGGTCAAAGTTCCCATATGCTCTGATGCTGACAACAAGTTCACGTCGAATTCTATATATAGGCTTGAGTGAAAGCGATTTAGTCCTAGGTACCCTTTATTCACGACGGGCGTCGTTCATCCAATGACGCCTGCGACTATGCCCTGATTTCAAACAACCCTGTAACGTCGAGACATTATTGTCTTCAATCTTGTCGTTCGCCCATCCATAAAGCTCCTTTTCAGTGAATCCGGCATTGACTCGGATTCGTTTTGTGAGTTGCCGCCGCTGCTGACCAGTCCGCCGAGATCAGTAAACCCCAAGGGGGAAGACTCGTCGACAAGGACGGCAAATCGGTGGCTGTACTGCTTCTGCACCGCATCGAAAGCGTCGTGGTGGAAGACCAGCGACGCCTCCCCGTTCCACGCGCAGGCCTGCGCCATCCTGCCAGCGACGTGCTCGATGCGGAAGCGCGCCAGCACCTCTCGCTTGCGGGCCCCGACGACGAGGTGGGCAGACCACCCGCCGGCGCCGGCGCCGCGCAGGGCGTACTGCTGCGCGTGGGCCCAGCCGTGCCACGAGAGGCTGTCGGGGCACGGGTACGGGATGGCACAGCCCCTCTGCGGGACGGCGTCGTCCGCGGACACGCGCAGGCCCTCGCGCAGGAGCCGGTCGAGGTCCCGGGCCTGGACGAAGAGGACGGCCTCCCACGCCATCCGGCTGCGGTCGTGTCCGATGCGCGGGTCGACGACCGAGTAGTGTGTCAGTTTCATGTTGTGGTAGAAGTCGATGAGGGCCTCCTGCTGCGCGGCGGCGGGATCCTTGCGGGAGACTGCCGCCCGCCATAGCTTGCTTATGATGAATCCCATAGATGGTGGGTTTGCTGTGTCGGGGGCTCGGCCGGCTCTCTCCTTCTTGAGATGTTGAGATGGGCTTTGTTCTGTATGGCATGTGGCCGTCTGGGAGTTTAGCTCGGGGACATGTCGCCGTATCAGGAGACCAGTGACGAGGAAAAGGCGATGGGAGTGCGGCAGCAGGTAAACGGTCCATCGCAGCCATCTCCAGTAGAGCGTCGCTGGCAGTCGATTTGGGTTTGGGCTTGCCACGGATAGGGCCCCAATCAACTGCGGTACAACCACGGAGTGTGCCGGTCGGGGTAGCGCCGTAGGAATCAGAAAGGCATGTTTTCATCTTTGCTGGCACTGCGCGGCCTTGACACAATGGTTGTGGATGTCCATGTTCTAACTACTGCTAATTTGGCGGTGGTACCCAGATGGATGCATGCCTGCATGGGTGGCCAGGCCGTGTTTTTTTGCTCTCATTCAAGGTAATGTTACATCTACTGGGGAATCTCTTTGCTTCGTTCATGCCTTCCGAACATTGACCAGGAATCTACTGAATCTGAAGAAGCCAACCGTCGCCCTCTTTGCCCAACGCACTGACGCCGCCCCAGAAGACGACACTCTTCGCATCGGCGGCGTATGCGCCGAAGAAGCCTCGAGGGCCGGGGTGAGCCTTGCCTTCCGCCCTCACCTCCTCCGCCGTGAGGAGCTCTACCTCGGCCCAGGTGAACTCGCCGGAATCGATGCGCGGAAGCTTGTCGCGGATGGCGTCCTTGATGGCGGCCGCACTGAAGCCGTGGGTCGGCAGCTGCAGGGCCCAGATGTCGGTGTAGAAGTCCTTCTCGGCAGAGGTGCTGTTCTCGCCGAACATGTAGACAAGGTAGTGCCTGCCGACTCCGGTGTTGACGGGGACCAGGGCGCCGCCTTCGCGGGGGCGGGGGCCGGGGGTCAGGGGGTTCGTGGGGAAGCTGGCCGTCTTCCACTCGAGGGCGTTGGGCTTCTCGCGGTCCTCGGCGTTGGACTTGAGGTCGAGGTAGTGGATGGCGCCGCTCATGCCCGAGTCGGCGCCGACGGTGTAGAGGACGTTGTCGACAAAGGCGGCGGCGAGAGGCGGCTGAGGCGACGGCGGCAGCTCCGTCCAGGCGAGGGTGTCAAAGTTGTACATCCAGGTCTCGATAGTGGCCTCCTGCCCCTTGGATGTGCGGCCGCCGTGCAGGACGAGGAAGTCCTGGGCGTCGTCGACGAAGATGTGGTGGTCGAACCTCGGCGTGAGGCTCTTGCCGATCTGGCTCACCCCCTCAATCTTGGTCCACTTCAAGCTCTCCGAGTCCCACAGCCACAGGCACGTCTCTGGGATCGGCTTGCCGCTGGCGTCGGCGCCGCCCTGGACGATGACGAACTGGCCGCGTGCTGCGGCGGCGTGTCTGGAGCGCGGGGAGGGCACGTACGTCTCGCCGGTTCCGGCGTCCTGCATCGCTAATGCGGGATAACAGGCATAGGCTGCGACGGGCTCTCCCTTGGTCACGGAGGGCAAGGAGAGGACGTGGAAGTCGGTGGAGCTGAGCTGGCCATCGGCCGCCTCGCCGCCAAAGATGCAGGCTTTGTGGTTCACGACAGTAACCGAGTGGTGCGAGCGTGCGAGGGCGCTGCAAGAGCGTGTCAGAACATGTCACTCGGGGGGGTAACGGAAAAGAAGGAGCCAAAGGCTTACGAGACATCGAACGCGGGGGACTGGGTGGTGGCGATCTGGGACAGGGAGACCTTCAGAGGCTGGGTCGGGCGTGCCACGGCGGCGACGACCCCGACCTCGACACCGGTCGAGACGACCTGCTCGGCCACGAGAGCACCTGCAGCGACTTCGGCCATGGTAGTTGTTGCTTGGTGTCCTGAAATATGGAGAGGTGTGTGTGTGTGTATGTTGCGTATGTGATCTTGTAAGCTGCTGGCTGCAAAAACTGGATTGAAAGGTCGTTCGTAGAAAGGGCGCCCGGGATATGTGATTCGGATTTAGAGTGTGATGGATGGGCGATTCGATGTTGGGAAGCTGAAGTTGTTTGGCCCAACAGAATTGTGATTATTGGTTTAGTCTGGAAGTGTTAGGGATGCTGCATCTGACGATCAGGAACAAACTGGGGGGGGGGGGGGGGGGGGGAATACGTTGTTGAATGACGTAGTGCCTCATGCAAACGACAAATGACGTCACGTTTGATTGTCTCTTTCCGCCGTCGAAACAAATTGAAAAATAAGTTGGATTTTCTTTGCTAGTTACTGTGGGAAACAAATTGAGAGTGATGCAGGAACAGGAACTCCGCAAGGGATGGGTTCCGGGACACGAACAACGGACGAGGACGAGGCCGCTGCTCCCGGGCCGAAGCGTGTAGTTCCGCGCTCGCCGGCTAATCAGTCACCACCTCCTGGTTGTCCCATTCCAGTGCAAGGTAAATAATCCTTGATGGGATTTCGACCGGCTCTCGGAAGGTCACATTAGCTGGGACTCTGAGCCGCATGTTGCAGATATTCCCGACTAGGGCAAGCAAGGCGGCAAGCCCTTGAACCTGGCCTACTGGACTCCCGAGACCGTGCTTCAAAGCGGGTGAAGTTGAAGGCAGTCCAGACGAGTCCTCGCAAATCAAAAAAGCCTAACAAATACAACGATGTACATCCAAGGTGCAAGGTGAATATCCTATAATCACAGACGTCCCGGTTCTGAGTGGGCATGTCATGCATGCTTCTGCTACCGTTTTCATGACAGTTGTTCAAATTCAGATCTGCTTCGAGCTAATGTCGACGCTAACCCGCTTGAGGCACGATGGGTATTTTCCAAGCTGATAATCTCATAAAGGCATGCTGATACTAAACCTTTCATGACGGCCAAGCCCCGGCCCCGCGCCCTGCTGGGCCGACATTCTCTTGGCGTGCGTTCAGCTGAAGCCTTTCCGGATTCCAAGAACCCGCCTATCCCATGGACGATGCCCTGCTGTGCCGTTCTATTAAATATCCATTTGCTTGCTACTATTCTACTCCGTAAACATGAACCATTCTCAACACATCGCTGGAAAGCAAGCGCAGATGGATTCGGGAGAATACCCCTACTTACCACCGCCCCCGGGACAACGGGCCATGCCGCCTCCGCTCCCGCCCCGCCCCGTTAGCCCGACGACCCGCTATTCTCGGCCACTGCCGCCACCGGTCTCGCACGCACCATCTCCCGCGCCCGACAGGAAAACATCTCACGATACTCATCCGAACATTGACCAAGAAAAGGTCCACCATGCTGCAACGCAAGTTTCTCTTAGCCGCGAACCAGCAGATTCCCCAACACCACCGGCCAACTTGGCACCGAGATCTGGGCCATTCCATACGTCCGCACAACAGTCGGATTCCCAAGATTTGCCTGTATCTGCTCAACGAGAACCAACCCTAAATATCGATAGACTTTCTTCCCAGTTGCGACAAGCTAGTATCCGAGACAGCCCTCCAACGACACAAGACGCACAGCGCTCTGAGGACACGGCCCTTAATGGATGGATAAGGACAGTGCCAATGCCTGTCGTATCCGAAGACGGAAAGCCTAACGATACTCTCTGGGACTGTCCCGAGCCACGACTCGTTGACTACGAAACGGACTGGTATCGTATTCGTGAAATCCCAAACTTCACCACCTGTGCCTGCTGTTACGAGACGTACCTCCAGGCCACCCCCCTCTCGGCTTCTTTTGAACGCGTTATCAGACCTAGAGGTGTCTGTAGCTTCAGGAAGTTTCGAGTAATCCGGTTCCTGATCCCGCAGTACCTCAGAACGCCAGATCCTCAACCTCTTCGGGATTACATGGCGAAGCGTATTGGTATCCAGGACTGTTACGGTGTTGGAGGCGTCAAGGGAACGGCAGGTGTGAAGTGGTTCAAGCCGCTCGATGATAGACTCAATGGCTTCATTTCATGCGAAGCATGTTATGAAGAGGTGATTCTAGGCACGGCATTCCACCGCCACTGGGCGCCCTACGACAAGCCTCAGGCAAATGACGATCTCTGGGCATGCGATATATGCATCCCCTTCATCGGCCGGATCTTGATCAGCTATTCCATAGCCCGTACATGGGAAGACTGGATCCAAGCCACTATCAAACACATGAACCTACCCATATGCGACAAGGAGAAGGCCGTTTCTGTATCGTCTCGGAAATGGGTGCGGCTCTCCGGCGGACGAGTCCCTGATATCAGATTATGCGAGAGATGTTACGAAGAACATCTGGCACACACTCCCATCGGTCACGAATTCGAACTTATCCCACCAAGGTCCGGGCCCAACGAACTGGATTGGATGGAGGTAGTGTCGGGCCACCACCTCACACAGAACTCGGAGCGCTGGCTTTGCACCATGGCGAATAATATCCCGCTTATCGCGGTCGTGTCAGCTGCCGTAGGTCGGAAGGACGTCAACGCCATGATCAGAGCGGCCGAGGTCATTGTCGCTAACCCTCCGTGTAGCGGACGGGGGATCTCGGGAGGCACATGGTACACGCTGGCTGGCGGCGACGTCGGCGACGACTTCAAGATCTGTGCCGCATGCCGCGCCGGGTAGATCAGCCCTTGAAATCTGGATGGGTTCTACGAGGTCGCAAACGGCGTGGACGCAGCGCAGACTATCTTGTGCAGTCTCCATCCCTCGGCTCCGCGATGGATACAGCAGGTCCATCGACTACAGGAGGCTCTCGAAGTGGGCGTATGGTCGAGGTATTCCAACCGAGTCCGCACGTTCGCCGGCGTCCCGCCCTGCGCGGGACACAACCACGTCGAGAACCGCAAGTGGTACGGCTGGGAGGACGGCACCATCTGCGCGGAATGCTGGGTCGGCTTCTGCAGGGACGCGCACCCCGCCGCCTCGGGGGCTCGCGATGGAGTACAACGGCCGGCTCGTGCCCGGCGCCAGGATGTGCTATATGTACTCCCCGCGCATGCGGCAGAAGTGGATCGAGGCCTGCGAGACAGGCGACGCCGGCGAGCTCGTTGGGTTTTCGAGGACCAGGCTCGAGATGTACGTGCAGACGGTGGTGCAGATCCGGAGGTTGAGGGAGGTGCATGAGGTGCAGGTGCTGGAGTCCATCGGCGCCGGCAACCAGAGCCTCACGTATTCGTCACCGCAGAACTTCCGTGTCTCTGCCGGCATTACTGATGGGTACCCGCACGGCAACGGCACGCTTGGGTGGCATCCGACGGTGGAGGGTGTCCAAAGTGCGGCATATATGAGAGACATGTCGAGTTTGGGCGGCCAAGCCTGGAACACTCTTTTCCAGATTGAGCACCTGCAGAACCAGTGGCTGCTTGTTGAGTGAGGCCTCCGTGAGGGTTTCTCGTATCTTCTCTGGTCCCGTGTGCTGGGTGCATGAGTGTCAAGAGGCGAGGGCGGATACGACGTCCTTCCACGACGAGGTCATGATTGACTGCTGTGAGATATCTTGGGCTGTGAGAAGTACGGATATCATTTCGCCAATGCATTGAATAAAATCAACCCCCAACTACACAAGTCATTTATCCCATCTAGGGTCATTTATCATACAAGAAATGGCTCGAATGTCTTATCTATACATCATCTGCTGCTTAAAAAGCGCCGTGCACCGTCACCGGTTGCCCCTGGTCGAGAGATTCTCGCAAACCCGCTGCGAGTAGATTAGTCTTCCGTGTACACCAAGGGTCCTGTGTTTTCATGTTCTTGCGAGCTCACCTTTCTACGGTCCCTAAAGTCTGTGTAAAAGCCGAGCCACAGATCTCTCGTGGTGCAGTCTTCGGCCCCGTTCTTGGCCACGCATTTGGGCTGATGCGCCTGCACGAGCTCCGGCGGGGAGTACAGCCAGGGCTTGTGCACCGGCCAGTCGGAGAAGTGGAGGAACTTCGCCTCGTTGTAGACGGCGACGGCGTCGAAGGCCTCGTTGGCGTTCCCGAGGTACTCGGCCATGTGGTCGCCTCCGATGGTGCGCGTCAGGAGGTCGTAAGGGCGGTGGGGGATGATCAAGGCGCTGTTCCTGTACAGGGTGTTCACGATCTCCATGTCGTAGTCGTTCTGCCCGGCGCTGTCGATCTCTGCCTTGACGCGCGCGAACTCGGCGGCGCTCGGCGTCACGAGCATGACCTGGGAAGAAAGGATGTCCTTCTCCGGGTACAACCAGTAGGCCAGGGGCATGGCCACGGGGGCGGGCGGCAGGAGAAAGAGCTCGTCCACGTTTTGGAGGAGAGTGGAGTCAGAATCAAGCGACAGGACGCGTTCGTACTGCGTCTGGTTGAAGGCCAGCAGTTTGGTGAAGGAGTCAGCCCACGTCGCTGATAGAGCTGTGCGTCAGCACCGTGGTTCCGAAGCTGCAGGCATCACGAGGGTCAACTTACAATCCGCGCTGTCCCTATGTTGGACAACGATAGGTACCAGTTTGACCCCATAAGCATCCCTCGCGCGGATGAGAAGTCTCGCATCCGTTGTGTCGCCCTCGGTCGCTTGGGGGTCGAGCATGGAGGACGGATACATCATGACACGGTCTGCCTTGCTTCCCACGTGGTCCAACCTTTCGAAGAACATGACCGAGTTGCAGAGATAGTGCGAGTCAGTGACGTACTGCACGTACGCAAACCGAGACCAGTCAACATGGTCTTGCCCGGGCACAGCGCCGACTCCGGATGAGGCGGACGACCGTATTGCCGGGACCCGGTCCGGGTTTTGGAAGACCAACGTCACAAAGAGTATTCCAACAACGGTGGCCACGACTGCGCGAAAGCGCTTCGAGCACAGGACCTCGGATAGGCTCGGCCGGGTCCTTTTTGGCGAAGGCAAGGCGGACTTGGACGCATCGTCAGCGGGAACGCGGGAGTAGCTCCATTGAGACCGCAGAGCTTGAAGGGCCATCAGGATCGATTGAAAAAGAGAACGAAGAACAAGGGAGAGGAAAAAACAGCCATCGAGGTGAAGTTCGCTGGTGCCCGGGCGGGTCATGCAGTGCGTCTACGCCCCAGCATATAAGGAATATGGCCATGTGGGTATGTCTCATTGAAGCGGACAACTGACCAGTCAATGATGCTCGTGGAGGGGATACATTGCGCAGGGGGAGGCATTGAGACAAAGGCTCTGGCAATCTCGGCAAACGATGGGTGAGAAGCGGGCGCCTCGTAAGGGTGGAAAGTGAGTTAAAGTCAAAACCCCTCGTCACACTATATTGGCATACATCTAAACAAGGCATACGGTGGCTTCTAGTTGCACAACTTCAGCATAACGCATCAAGCCAATTTCCCCGGCTCTGTTTGGGTTGCCGGCTCTCCGTCGGCATACAATAGTGTGTACACATTATGCCAGGATCAGGGTGAGGGACTTGCGAGACGGCAAAGCTGCGTTGGTAGCAAGGTTTTAAAGGACGATTGCAGGGCACGAACGGTTGGCCAATGGCAACGGTTACCAACGAGATGGTTATAAGTCTCAATGAAGTGTATACCGTCATGTTGACTTTTATGGGAAGGCCTTCACCGCGGACAGCTCAGGTCCACGTGTCTCTTTCCGCAGCTGAAACAGCAAGCAAGCAAGCAAGCAGACTGATGCTATCCTCGAATGGCTATGCATGCCCGGCGTGCTATGTAGGTATTGCTTGCTCTGCGTTGCCATTCTGGGCAGGTGGTTTTTTATCGCGCGTTTTTATAGCGGGGTGGGGTGGGGTACCTGCAGCTGTTGGTGGGCTGGCCCGAACCGCTGCAAAGGACGAAACCATCTCGACCCGGCGCCAGCGCGCACAGATGTCTAAACCTGTACATAGTAGGGGGGAGCGGGAGCTATCTTGGACAAAGTTTGGCTCCAAGGCAAACCGCCACGAAGCTATAGGTAGCTAGGTAGCTGTAGCTAGCTACCTACCTACCTACCTACCTACCTACCTACCTACCTTTGCCCCCACTGCCTGCTAATACCTATTCCAGGTGACTCACCAACATTCACCGTTCGGTATTACATCGTGTACCAAGCATCTGAGCAGGTGCGTGTGTCAGCATGTACCAAGTAGGATAAGCTTACCTAAACAACCATTAGGAAAAGCCCTCGCGAAATGGCTCTCTGCCATCCAATCATGGGCCTGCCAACAAGACACTGGACACACACCACCCCGTCGTCCCAACCGCACGAGTAGGCAGCCACTACATCAGCACAAACCCTACGGAGTAGTGTCTCCTCATTAGCCTCGTAGATCGTCCGTGCAGCCTGGGCTCCATCGCTAAGAAATCATTCTTCAAAGAGTCATGGAAAGAAAGGTGGACCCGGAGACGCCATCACCCCCACGCCTGCCGTGGTCGGCAACACAAGTCTAGAATCCAGCCCTGCCGGTGGTCTTTTGAACGCCCGAGACGACGCAGCCAAAGAGCCTTCTCTATGGGATAGGGCCTTCCATGCTCTGGCCGAGGAGAAGGGGGAGCTCGTCTCCGAGTACGAGAGCCTCCTTTCTCGCGCCTTCAACCGTACGCTTGCAACATATCATCCTACTAGTCCATGTTTATCGCTAATTCTGTCACAGCCAACCCCCAGCCCATTCACTCCGCGAGCGAAGAACAGAACGCCGCTGCGGTTTACAACCCGATCCCCAGCCATGATCCAGTAGCACGCGAGCAAAGCCTGAAGCGCATCATCGAAATGGGCCTCCAGCATATGGAAGACAAGAAACTGCGCACCACGGTCCTTGGTCACGAAATCTCCCTAAGCAACGTCGTGGCCAACGCCGCCGGTGCTGTCACATGGGCCGAGAAACTCACCAAAAAAGCCGTAAAGGATGTGCCCTACGCATCCATCGTCATGGCCGGCGTTTCCCTTATCCTGCCCCTCCTGAAGAATCCCCTCGCTGCCGACGCTGCGAACAGCGAGGGGCTGACATACGTCACGCTGCGAATGCGATACTACGCCGCCATGGAGCAATCACTCTTCCCCAAGGACATGGAACCTGCGGCTCCTTCCTGTCGCTTCGACAACGCGCCATCTTATTCGTCCATCAATCGGCAAAGGACTATCTTGCAAACAGCGCATCGAATGTCATTTTCCCTAAAGGGGAAGAATATGCTCATTACACCGTCTTTTCGCGGTCATTACGAAGCATGACAAGCACATTGGATCGTGAGGATATCTACCATCTGAGCGAACCTGGGTATCCTGCCGAAGACGTCAAGACACCAGACCCGGATCCACTGCGCCCTGTTGGGTACTCATGTGTATACCGGGCTCACCATCTACTCCACTGTCGTCATACGGAATCAGCCATCAGAGACCTCCAGGAAGGTGGCATAGTTGACGGATTTTTCCGCACTCACTTCCTCCCGTGGCTCGAAGCTCTTAGTCTTCTGAAAGCCATGCCACTAGGAGTGGCCGCAGTGCTCAAAATGCATAACCTCCTCAAAGTAAGCCCTTCTTCTACCAGCAATGGCGTCGCTAACGTAATATAGAATTCAACCCATACAACGTCTTCTCTGACCGATAGGGTTTGGGACGCAAGCCGATTTCTCCAATCACACAAATGGGGAATCGAAAGGTACCCGCTTCAGGTGTATACCTCCGCACTGATATTCACTCCTTCCACAAGCATAACACGGAGACAATACCTGGAAAGACACCAATCCTTGTTGACCGTGCTCCCCATGGTCGATGAAAATTGGAGTGCATGTCTTCAAACGTTGGAGGGCCATAGTGATTATGTCACTTCGGTGGCCTTCTCGCCAGACAGCCAGGTGGTCGCGTCAGCCTCGATTGATAGAACAGTTAAGCTCTGGAATGTCCAGACAGGTGTAGAGAAGATAACACTTGAGGGCCATAACAATAAGGTTACCTCAGTGGCCTTCTCGCCTAACAGCCAGGTGGTTACGTCAGCCTCATATAGCAAAGTCCAGCTCTAGGACGTTCAGACAGGCGTAAAGAAGACAACGCTTAAGGGTCATAGTGATTAGGTTACCTCAGTAGTCCTCTTGCCTGACAGCCAGGTGGTTACATCAGCCTCATATAGCACAGTTAAGCTCTAGGACGTCTAGACAGGTACAGAGAAGACAACGCTTAACTATAGTAATAAGATTAATATAGTAGTCTTCTTACCTAACAGCCAGGTGGTTATATTAGTCTTATAGAAGGTAGTTAAGCTCTTGGATATTAAGATAGGTGTAAAGAAAATAACGCTTAACTATAGTAATAAGGTTTTTTTAGTAGCCTTCTTGCCTAACAGCTAAGTAGTTATATTAGTCTTATAAAAGACAGTTAAGCTCTAGGAAATTGCTGCCGCCAAATGCTTTCAAGAAGTTGAACTTCATGGTATCGTAAGGCAACCACGCTTCGCCGAGGATGGTCTATTACTTCTCACCAACGTTGGTGCTATAGTAATTGAGAGGAAGCCATCTGAAAGGACTAGTGAGGGCGTTGCGGACCCAGACTCATCTCCAGTAGGAGAGCCTATTCAGCCAAACAATAGCAATTGCCGTAGTTATGGTATTAGCTACGATCGCTGCTGGGTTACTCGGGATGGGCGCAATTTGCTCTGGTTACCTGCCGATTTCCGGCCAGACACGTCAAATCCACAGCACTATTTGGTAGCAATTGGCAGCGGGTCAGGAAAGGTTGTAATAATGCAGTTCGCATAGGAAGTGGTCAATCCTTCCTAAGTAGACCCTCCTTCACTATTTCCTAGAATATGTCAATGTCATCTCTTCCTTTCCGGTTTTTCTACAAAAGGGTTCAAGGGGGCCTAGTATACTTATTCTAAGCTCTCTAGCTTAACTGAGAGCGTCGGAGAAGAACGACACCAGTGATGGCCTCACTTCTCGGGGTCCCCGTAGCAACACCCGGCGCAGCAATCACGGGAAGTTTTCACCACAGACAAGGCCGGCCGGTGACACCGCACCGGTAGATGCTCCATCTCCTTCTGGCCTATCTGAAACGTCAACACCAAGCCCAAAAAATAAAGCAAAGGAAGCTTCTAGTTTCTCAGCAGGAGCCAAGGCAGGAATTCCAGCAGCAGGCCACTAGGAATCTACTGCTCTACTTCCAAGTCTACAAAATCTCTTACTGCCATGATCAGCTTCATGTTATTGGTAGGCTACGGAGGAGCACAATTGGTGGTGGGCAATTTCTGGAAACCGGCTGAAGCTGAAATCATGTTCGATGTGCGCTAGGTAACACGACATATGTTGCTGCTGTTGCAGTCTTTAATGAAATGTCATTTGTAATATATTGCTTCAAGGCCCTTTAGAGAATACCATAGAGGAGGCTAAAATTCCAGTACCAGCCAAGGATCTTGAGGAGCATGGTACCACACAATAGAGCAGGTGGGCAAATGTCCCATAAAAATACAGCATTCAACTCCAAAGGAAGACGGACCATCTCATGTACAGTGGGGTGCCAAAAATCACGGTACACCCCACTCGATAACGCGTCACGACGCGTCCTCCAACATTCATCCCCCTTTCTTATTTTTCCCATAACTTTAGTAAATTATAGCTGATTTATAAGCCTTTTGTTCTTAGCTTTTAGAGAGTTGCAGTACTAATTATAAGCTTACTAGGGATTAACGTTTAGTAATTATTACCCTTGTGTTAGGCAGCCAAAGTTACTGCGACGCGGCTGCCCTATTTAACTGCTCTGTCAACGCAGTCGCGGCAACACTTTAACGATAGAGAAAAGAGCAATCCATCAAGGGTGCACACCAGAAAGGAAGGCCAGAGAAACTCTCACGTACCCAGAAACAGGGTATAGTTAGGTCAGCAAAAATCAATAACTAGTACATATACTAACAGCTCCTTTATAAGTATAGCAATATTATAAGCCTCTAGACCCTTAAGCAGGTTCTATAAAGCGCTAACTATCACAAATAGAAGGCAATAAAGAGGCTATTTATTATAAAAGAAGCAGCTGCTTCTTAGCTTTAATTTACACATACGTAGCTACAAAATATTAAAGAATTAATAATAGTATCCTTAGCTAGAAACCTAGTACTTATTAGAGTCTCTAAGCTAATTTTATAGGTAAAGTCCTAATTCTTAGATAAGTCTTCTTATTAGAATAACACAAACAATCTAACCACCTAGGTATTTAGATTACCTTAAGAATAATAGCAAAAGGAGTTTATTAACCTTATAACTTATATTAAGGCTAATATTTTAATAATAGTGTAGGCAATAGTATAAGAGGATAGCAGAAGTAACCTAGTCTTCTTAGAGAGGGATAACATATTAAAGAAGAAGGGATATAGTGCTAACAGCTATATCTAATGCCTAGAAAAAGGGTATCTACCTAGCAGTAATAATATAAGGTATTTTATTTAGGATAATACCCCTATTTACACGTTAGCTAACACAACAAAATAGCTCTTAGATAAGGCAGTCTCCTAGATTAAATAGCTACTATACTTACTAGATCTTAACCTTATTAAGTATTATTAGTAGATAATAAAGTCTAACCTAAAAAGACTATACCCTAACGCATTCTATCTTAAGAAAAACTAATTAGATATAGAGTTATTTAAGGAGTAAATCACTAAGGCGTAGGAAGCTATCCCACAGGAGAAAATCAAGGTATTAATCTAGTTATTACTACAGCGCTTAGAAGCAGTTATAAGAGCATAAGGCTAGTATACATAATACTAATAAGTAACCTTTTGGCTTTATTTTAACTATAGGTTTACTATATATTTCTAAAAGTTAATGGTTTTGTGAGTGGTGGCAGTTATGCAGTGGTAATGTTAGTGGCTGGGAAATTAGTGGGTGTACCGAGACTTTTGGCACCCCACTGTACAATGGTCAGCGGAGACCCTTGACATGGTGTATCTGGGATATCCTAACAACGGGAGCTCTATTAAACTACTAGGCAATGGAGTAGTTTATCGGTCAATGCCGGCTCGTTCCGGACAATGTACCCGATGTATTTCCTGATCCCAGAACCGGAGGAGACCGGAACTACGGTACTACAACAGATCCCGATATCCCCGTCTGGTAACTTGTGAGACCATTGGCCGGTCCTCAGGTCTGCAACTTGACCCACTTGATCTGGGGAAGATTCGGCTCTTCACCCCGTCTCAGGTGGAGCTGGCCTCCGGAAGTGGAACAGTGGCGATGGCCTCGGATGCATTATCTACTTACACAAACCTCGCCGCCCTTTCCAGAAGTTCTCGCATCTCGAATCTTCCAGTTACAGAGCGAGACATATCGAGATCAAAACAGACGAACCCCATGTTCTAGGGCGCTTAAAGCTTCCGGAAGGCAAAAGGTAAAACACATCGTGCTGTCATGCCATGCGGATTGCGGGGGTCGTCCGACGCACACGGGTTGCATCAGCGGATTGCGTGCTCAATGCCCCAGATAGCAACATCGCAACCACAATTGATAATCAGCAGCGCCGTCCTCGGCGGTGCCTTTGGTGCGGATTACACCATTTAAGTGAATTTGTTCCAAGTGGATGTCGTCACCCCCTCCATCCTAGAGAGCCCCGACTCCCCCCATCCTTTGCCTCGTGTGATAGTGAACGCCAATGGTATTCTGCGGCTGTGCCATCTGGCGATCGGGACCGCATTGGCCTGCACTGCGTGCGTTGTTTTGAGGAAGAGGGGTCCGGGGGACAACGCAATCGAATCCCTGCCAGCATGCAATTGTCCCAAGATAAGCCCTCCCCTCTGGTACGCTCCGACGCCGATGCTATTTTGGAGGTTTTGGAGGGGTCGTCTATATAAGGCCGAGGACGGGACGTTGAATCCTCATGCGTGGATGGATGCACCGGTGGCAAATTTGATATTGAGCAACTTGAAGAAGAGACAAAATCTCGAGTCAACATGGCACCTTCAGCAACAGAAACTACCACGGTGACCGACCCGGTCAACCTTCCTGTGAACAACCTCCGCCTGTATGCCGACGGCTCCGGTGATTACAAGGAGCTTTCGCCTGTTGTATACGACAAAGATGCCGAGGCGAAGGGAGGAGACGGCCACAAGGGCGCAAAGGTTTGTGCACCTGAACCTTTGGTTGATAATGTCTAGGAATCCTACGAATATGACTGACTTTTCAACCCCGCAGTATCCTCATTACCTCCCTACGTGGAACCCTGAGCAAAAATACCCTCCCCTAGAGCCCTTCCAGCACTACGAGCATGGAAAGGACGCCGACCCCAGCTACCCCGACCTTCTCCCCAAGGAGGCCGAGGTGACGGACCTGACGCCCACGATCGGCACGGAAGTCAGGGGCATCCAGCTCAGCAAGCTCAGCAACGCCGGCCGCGACCAACTCGCCCGGTTCGTCGCGGAGCGCAAGGTCGTCGCCTTCCGCGGCCAGGACTTTGCCGACCTCCCCATCGACAAGGCGCTCGAGTTCGGTGGCTACTTTGGCCGTCACCACATCCACCCCACTTCCGGGTCCCCCGAGGGCTTCCCGGAGATCCACCTCGTCCACCGCGCCGCGGGCGACAGGTCGGCCGAGAAGTTCTTCGCCACCAGGACGAGCTCGATCGCGTGGCACTCGGACGTCTCGTACGAGCAGCAGCCGCCGGGCACGACCTTTCTGTACATCCTCGACAAGCCGGAGACGGGCGGTGACACCCTCTTCTGCAACGCCGTCGAGGCCTACAACAGGCTCAGCCCGCTCTTCCAGGAGAGGCTCCACGGCCTGCAGGCCGTCCACTCCGGCATCGAGCAGATCAACGCTTCCGTCAGCAAGGGCAGCATCAAGCGCCGCGAGCCCGTCGCAAACACCCACCCCATCGTACGGACGCACCCCGTGACCGGTGAGAAGGCGCTCTACATCAACCCTCAATGTAAGTTCCCCCCCCCCCCCCCCCCCCACGCGAACTAAAGCAAGCACCTTTTAAGCAACCCGGACCGGCTAACTGTGATTCGTTAGTCACCCGTGAGATCGTGGGTCTGAAGAAGGAAGAGTCCGACGCTCTGCTCAAGTTCCTTTACGAGCACATTGCGTGGGGCGCCGACTTCCACGCCCGCATCAAGTGGGAGGAGGGGACCGTCGTCGTCTGGGACAACCGTGTCACTCAGCACTCTGCGCTGATTGACTGGAACAACGGCTCGCGGAGGCACTTGGCTAGAATCACGCCGCAGGCTGAGCGGCCATACGAGACCCCTTTCAAGGGTTAGAGAGTCCATGTGATGACGAGGTATGAGTTTGTAGCGTGTACATCAAAGAGGCCAATTTGGTCATGAATGATTTAGGGCCGAGGAGGCCCATGGGCAATGGTTGAGAACTGCAAAAAATGAAAGATAAAAACCAGTCAAGAAAAAGGACTGGTGTATGATGAATGCCACTCTATTACGAGCAAGAGAATACAATATTGTCTGTTTCGATAAAATAAAATCCAGTACGTGATTGATGTTGGACCGATTCAAAGCTGATGCCAAGTCGGTTGGCACCACCATCCTAGCTAATGTAGAATTGAAAGTGGACAAGAGAATCTAGACTTTTCTACCACAAGGATACATACTGTAATGAGATCTCATCTTGTCACTTTCCACTAAAGCCATAGTTGTCTCACATGAATGATCGTTTAACCCCAGGCCAGTTGGGTTTGCAGTCCGAGCCTTTCCAATCCATTCCCGCCCCTTGCTAGGGCTTGAACGGACATGCGTCAACCGTGGCAAGATAAGCCATACATTTGAATAGTAAATAAACTTAATGATTATACGTCACAGGCGCGCGATCGACCCGAGGGGTTGGGTTGGGCGTCGGACGCGGACTACCTCTTTGCCGTTCCCTGATTGGTCAATTACCTCTACATCGGATTAAAAGGAGTGTCGCAATTCCATGGCTGCCATCACGCAATTCCCTCTACTCCAAGCCTTTTTCGTTGGCAGAGATGCGGGTGTTCATTCATGCCGCCACCCAAGGCCTCTACCAAGTCGCTAATCTTATCCTCTACAAGAGGCTGACATGGTTTTACTCTCGTCATCGGACGCATTGTCCACACATGGTAATCGGCTCGTCCTCTTTATAGTATCGCGCAGCTTTCCCCAGCCGGCATCTGGTCACCTCGACCACCCCCCCTCCCTCGCTGGACCCCGACACGGGATATTCCTCCCGCTCAACTCAGTCCTTAATAACTCGGCTTTGAATTCTCGCTCGTGGGGGTTTAGTCACTGGCGCATACACTGACTGCCCTTTAGACCAAAGTTGCTGGCCAAGCAATCCACGACGACATATGTATGACATGGGCCGGGCCACTATGGATCACACCCCTCCCCACACTCGACATCTCGCCTCGCTGGGCCACCGGTCTGCAGCGCAATACTCTCTCGCAATTGCATCATAGATAAGAGGTGTGATTTTTTCAAGAAGACCAATTGAATATGAGGTGATCGTTTCGATACATCGCGCTAGGATGAAGGGTTTTCTACCCGTTCTCGGCACCACCCCCCCTCGTCCTCACAATGACGGGAAGACAGCAACAGATCGGACTTGGGACCACCACCCAGATTACCGGGACCTTAGGGGGTAATGTATAAAAGGTTCTTGCGTACCCGCGGACCGGGCTTCGTTGCCGGTACCTGTGCAGTTGTGACGTTGTCAACGAAGCTCTGAAGGCTCCTGCAAGACTCGCATACAGTTTGCCAACCGGGTTGCCAAAGGTGTTTGCAAGTCGACTTCAGCCATGGGCTCAAACGTAGCGGAAGGGCCCTTTAAGGACCCGGTCAAAGAGGCCGACACCACGCAGTCGCAGGTCGCGACAGACACCTCGACCTCTTCGTTGCGAGAACAGGTCGCCCAGCAGCACGGCTCGACGGATGAGCACGTCTTCTCGGACCCTGTCACTGCCGACTACTGGCGCAAGGTGTACGAGAAGGCCCAATACGAGAACCGCCATCGCTTCGACCCGAGCTACCAATGGTCTGCCGAAGATGAGAGGAAGTTGGTCAAAAAGGTAGTGTTACTGCTGCCATGTGGATGTGGGACAATTAGGATGTCGAGCGGGAGCTAACTGAACTGAATCTGCTTAGATCGACAAAAGAATCATGGTGTGGGCTTGGGTTGGTGCACCCCTACCCCCCCCCTTTCTGTCGAAAGTTAAGAAACGGCAGCTGATTGGTGATACACAGGTCATGTTCTGCGCTCTCGACCTCCACCGAAGAAACATTAACCGTGCGATTTCGGACAATATGGTAAGAAGCACCCGGACGACGACAGCTCGTACAGAAACGGTGACTGACATGGACAAAAGCTTCCCGAACTTGGAATGACAACCAATGACTTCAACTATGGACAAACAGTCAGTCTCTTCCCAGAGTGACGAGATGGTGGTGGCGTTGATGGGCTCACACGCCGTGTAGATTTTCCTGTTGTCGTTCCTCGCCGCCGAGTTGCCCAGCGGCCTCATCAGCAAGAAAGTCGGAGCTGACCGGTGGATCCCGTCCATCATGGTCGGCTGGTCCATCACGGCCGGTTCCCAGGCTTTCCTGTCGAACCGCGCGGGGTTCTACGCCATCAAAGCCCTGCTGGGCTTGTTGATGGGCGGTTTTATTCCGTGAGTCTGGCATGGTGATGGTGGTGGTGGTGGTGGTGGTGGTGAAGGCGGACAGTTACTGACTTGCTTGTAGCGACGTCGTCCTCTGGCTCACGTACTTTTACAAGTCTAACGAGCTGCCGCTCAGGCTTGCGTGGTTCTGGACCGCACTAAGCACCGTTAACATTGTGGGATCTCTGGTCGCTGCCGGTGTCCTTCAAATGCGAGGTGTGGCGGGATGGGCTGGCTGGAGATGGCTGTGAGTATACACCAAGGGCAGAACGGGGGTGCGATCGATCCTCATCAGAACTAACAACGACTAGCTTCCTCATTGAGGGAATCGTGACTCTCTTCATCGGCATCTTTTCCTGGGGCCTGATGCCTCCCGGTCCCACCCAGACCAAGAACTGGTTCCGGGGCAAGAATGGGTGGTTTACTGACCACGAGGAGTCCATCATGGTGAACCGCTTGCTGCGGGACGACCCGAGCAAAGGTGACATGCACAACCGGTACGACGATTCTTTCTCCTCCCCCTTTGAACACCATGACACAGGCTGATACCCCCGAGTAGAGAAGGCGTCGGTCTGTCCCTTCTCTTCAAAGCAGTCAGGGACTGGGAGCAATGGCCTCTGTACCTCATCGGCTTGACGGCGTATATCCCGCCCTCGCCGCCCAGCACGTACTTGTCTTTCATCCTGCGACAGCTGGGATTCTCCACGTTCCAAGCAAACCTCCTCGCCATCCCCTCGCAGTTCCTGTTCGCGGTCAACCTCTTGATCATCTCCTGGGTGTCCGGGCGGGCCAAGGAGCGGGCCATCGTCTCGTCCATCTCGAACTGGTGGATCTTCCCGTGGCTCGTGGCGCTCGTGGCGCTGCCGGCGTCTACCAGCACCTGGATCCGGTATGCCCTGCTGACGGGCCTTCTGAGCTACCCGTACTGCCACGCCATCCTCGTCGGCTGGAACGCCAAGAACAGCAACGCCGTGCGGACGAGGGCCGTCAGCGCCGCGCTGTACAACATGTTCGTGCAGGCGGGCAACATCGCGGCGTCCAACATCTACCGCGACGACGACAAGCCGCTGTACCGCCGCGGGAACAAGATCCTCCTCGGCGTCTGCTGCTTCAACATTGTGCTCTTCTACTTCGTCAAGGCCTTTTACATCTGGCGCAACAAGGTCCGCGACAGGCGGTGGAACGTCATGACCAAGGAGCAGCAGGAGGACTATACTCTCAACACCACCGACGAGGGACAGCAGAGACTCGACTTCCGCTTCGCTCACTGAAGCTTTCCGAATGGCAGGAGGCCGAATCGCAAGCTTCGTCTTGTAGCCATTTAGCCCGCCAACACTATCCATAAGAACCCGAGATACGCCTCCCTCCCCTGTAGATGCTGGAGGAAGAGGGGCTATCACGATCTCTGGAGTACGACGTTTTCGGGCCCTCTAGCCAATGTTGTAAGAGTTTTATGTTGATAAACCAAATACTGATTCACCAAAGTGTGTGTCTTCTGGTTGCATGTTGTAGCGTGTGAGTGTAAGAGAGAGCAATGATAATTGCTTATTCTCTATCAAATTGTTTTAAATTGCCAACCAAGTCTGTGACAGCTTACGTAACGACTATTTGCTTGGCATTTATGGATACTCTCCTATCATCAGGCAACAGCATCCAGCCAGATTCTTCCTTTTTCCCTTGAGATTATGTTGGTTCATTCTTGGTCAAATCCTCCAACATCAGCAGCAACCGGGTTCCGACTGCAATTGAGCTTCCCGAGGTGTGTGTGAGCGTCGAAAGCCCACATGGAAGCAACTAGACACACCTTGGGGCAACTCACGATGAGCATTCTTCCTGGGACAAGAGTGCCCTGGATCTCGTCGGACGTTACCAGGAATTGTTCCGTCACCGGCGACTACTTTGCCTGGATTCTGACGCAGGAGAACGAGCCCCCCTTTCCCGGAGTCGCCGACTTTTGGCGCACAGCAGTGGGACATGGCGACGTTGGGCTTCCGTCCAACGCCGAGATCATCGAATGGCATGAGTGGGCGCGTTCGAACAGGACATTGCTGGCTGGCGACGTGAGCCACGACAGGCTCTGCTTGCCAGAGGTGTGTCGATCCGTCGGCTCAGAGGTTGATGGGGGTCTCGCAGGGCACGGGGTAAGTCTATGATTCGGGTTGGGGGTGGCTTGCTTGCTGCTACACAATCATCACGTACTGACATGTCCCAGCTACTCGCCTCGTACGGCTTTGAAGCCGTCATGTTGACAGTCTACTGCCTGTTTGCCGTCTGGCGGTCCTTCAGCCGCCGCAAGCCTGCAGACAAGACGTCCGAGAATCCCGACGCGCCCGCCCCGGATGACAAGCTCGGCATCTCCGCGCGCATCAGCGACGCCTTGCGGTGCACGACTTACGATTTCTTCACCGCCGCCGCCTTCCTCTCCCTCGGGATCCAGTCCGCCGTCATCTACTTCCAGACCACGCCGACCGGTCGCCGGCCCACCTCGTCCCTCCAGCTCATCGTCTCCGCCGCCGCCTTCTACCCGCTCGCGGCGATGCTCCCGCTGATCCTCGCGTACGCCCGCCGCGGCTGGCTGAAGGGCGCCGTCCTTGTCGCCCTCTTCGTCGTCCACACCGCCGCGTGGATCATGTGCCTGGACAGCGCGCAGGTCGAGTACTTGGACGACATCCGCGTCTTCGACCTCTGCCGGCAGAACCACCCTCCGCAGGTCGCGGTCGAGGCAGCCATGTTCACCATGGCGGCCATGGTGTGGATGCCGCCCCTCTTCGGCCTCTGCCTGAGCGTCGCGCTCTGCTTCTACCGGTGCAACAACCGCAAGATGTGGCAGGCCAAGTGGCTCAACAAGGTCGCCGGCTGGGCCATGCTTCTGTATGCTGCTGCTAACTTCATCTGCATGTGGGGTGCCTGGATCGTTCTCGTTGTCTTCTTCGACAGGACGCCGCGGAGAGCCGAGGATGCCTGGAGTCTAGGCCAGGCCCTGGCTCTCACCCCGTGGGTACCGGTGCTACTGGAGTTTGCCTCTGTTCTGTTCTGTAAGTCATACATACCTGTCTTTTTGAGGAGGAGGGGCTTCGCTGACATGTTCCAGTGGGGGCCGAGGCTGGCTTCGCCGGCCGCCTGCCCGTTGAGTTCCGGGTGGTGCGGCAAGAGAAGGTTCTTGATCAACAAGAGGGCGCCGCTTTCTTGGACGATGCTCGCGTTCAACAGGCGTAGTGGCGGAGCAGACCTGAACGGGCGTGGAAAATGCGGCGAGGGGTGTTTTGAGACCTAATGCACAATCGAGTCCATCTTGAGCATGTTCTGTGTGAACCCCGGCAGTCCAGTTGCGAAAAGTTTGTCGTCTTAATGAAACCCCGATCTTGCGAACCTTGAAAGACGGCATGAGTGTCGCAGCCTGTACGCCCTAGCCGTCTTTTTTTTTTTCTCTTCCTTCTTTTTCCGAGAAAACAAACGCTCAACGAGGCTTCGCGCCGGCGCGATCCAGACACTTCCACGTCCCCGTCTCGGCGACCCTCTCGTAGCGTTGCGAACGCGTCTCGAACAGGTAGGAAAAGATGCTCTCCGTCTCGCCGCCGAGCACCGGTAGCTCGACGACGTCCTCCTCCAGCAGGACCCAGCCGGCGTCGTCGACGAGGTGCCAGAACTCGTTCTCGTCCGGGTGCCTCTTCTTCCAGGCGACGTAGACGTGGGTCCGCACGGGGCCGTCGCTGCCCCCCCCGGGGCGGCTACTACGGGAGATGTTGTGCACGTGGACCGCCGTCCAGGTGTTGATGAGGGAGGGGAGCACGTCGACGTTGTAGGTGCAGTCGCTCATGGCGATCAGGTCCCACGCCCTGGCGCCGGCGAGCGGGCCCAGCTCGCCTTTGCGGCCGTCGTCCCAGTCGAGGTTCTCGTACTCGGGGCGAATGGACGCCGTGCCCGCCGTCGCCAGGCGCGCCATGTTTGCCCTCGCGCGCTGCTCCGCCTCGGGCAGGTCCGTCATGAGGATGCTGCTCTTCCCCTCCGGGTCCTCCCTCGTCATGATTTGCGCGAGCCCGTTGCCCAGGATGCCCACGCCGCAGCCGAGCTCGAGGACGTTGAGCGGGTGCCCGCCGAACAGCAAGCCGCGGAGGCGGTTCATGCACCAGGGGCGCTTCGCCGCGTCGTCGTGGCCGTCCCGGTCGTTGGCGAGCCAGAGCGTCGAGATGGCCGTCAGCCCGGCGTCCCAGATGTGCCTCGCGATGCTCTCGCCGATGTCCTCCTCGATCTCTACGCACGGCTCCGAGTCGCGGCCGCCGTGTGCGAGTCTCCGCACGCACGTCGTCGGCGCCTCGCTGTGGTCCGGTGTCTGAACGTCGGCCCACACGGGCATGACCTTGCCGCAGTCCCCGTCGAGTCCCGCAAAGACGACGTCGGTCGCCGCATCGGCCGACTGTCTTCCGCTCGCGCGGACGAGGACCCTCAAGGGCCCCAGGCCGGGGTTCGGGAGGGCCGGGGTGGTGAGGTGTTGGGCAGGAATGTCGGCCTTGAGGACGCGCATGCCCGGTGTCCAACGCAGAACCTTTTCCGCTGCCAATAGTAAGGGGTCGTCGGCTTTGGGCTGCTTCGAGGGCTGTTCCCAGCCGGCGCTGATCTTGAGCTTGACGGGCTCATGGTCGTCCGGGTTCAGGAAGGAGTCGCCGAGATCCGTGGTGACGGTCAGGACGACGTTGAGAGACCACGGGTGTTTCCTGCCCTTGTCGTACGTGAGCTTGGGGGCTCGGAGGAGTCGGATGTAATGCATTAGGGTCTTTGTGCCGGGTCGGGTCGTAGTGTTGAACTCATCTCCTGGTGAGGGTATGTATGTGTATGTATGTGTGTGTGTGTGTGTGTGTGTGTATCTACAGCTGGTGAAGAAAAAAAGTGAGCGTGTGCTTAGTCATCGGCCATTGACCAGTGAGATGCGTCAAAAGCGTCACTTTGCGTCGCAGGCCAGGCCTTGACGTGTGTTCCGGGCTTCAGGCACAGCTTTTTACGTGGTACACGAGCAAGACGGTGTTTATGGTTCTCGAAGGGATCAATGACATGACGGCCAATCCGTTAGTCGAAAGTGTCTTGGTTGTTAAAACGGTCCTCATGGGCGAACACCCTCAGAGGTGCTGTAAACAAGGTACGAAGGCACCGAGTGCAGTGCCAGGTCCACGAATGCATATACCGCTTTGATTACACAGGATCCGGCGGGGGTTCGACCAGTCGCACTTCTGGTGAAAAGCAAATTAAAACGAAGCTGCCGGGATATGGACCACGATGTCTGGGCTTTCACCGTCTTCTCCCACTAAACCATCGTATTTCCGGTCCCCATCTATGATGGGCGACCGGTGACCGGCGGCACTGTGGATCCGGGTCCCCCGCGGCCTCTACCAAACTGGAATTTCTCCCTCCACGAGCACACAGCTTCGAGTATCAATCCGTCAAACCCAGTGACGCTCCCAGTTCCAACTTGTCAATGCAGGGAGGGAACGAAAACGCGGCCATCAAGCGACACCTTGAAACTCTCATCTCCGACTCCCCACCAACTCACACACACACACACACACACACACACACACACACACACGCAGAGACGCGGAGGTCGCCGCGACCAGACGCAGCAACAACTCATCCCGCCCGCGCTACGGACGCCTCCGATGGCAGGGAGGTCGGCGCCTTATCCACCGCGACTGTTCGTGATAAGCATCGCGGTTGATTAAAAAAACACCTCGGCGCGCATCAATGGATGCGATCCAGAACTTGCACTTACACTCACTCATGACCCTTGACGCAGTAGTAGTAGTCTTCTAGCTCAACCACCACAGCCAGTCAGCCAGCCAGCCAGCCAGCCAGCCAGCGACCACTCCGACGTCACTCTAATCGCGGGCTACCGACCCCGAACGTCTTTGCAATGGCCGATGAAGCTCTCCCGCCCCGCGACCCCGAGACCATCCTCTCCGCCCTCCTCTCCCTGACCGAGGACCGCATCGTCCCCCTCACCCGCCGCGGCGTCAGCTCCGGCAGCAAGCTCTTCGGCGCCGCCATCCTCTCCTCGACGACCCTCGAGGCCCTGACGGTCGCCACCAACGACGAGCGCGCCTCGCCCCTCCTCCACGGCGAGATCAACTGCATCCAGCAGTTCTTCACCGACGTCTTCCCGGACCCCGCCACCCGGCCGAGCCCGCGGACCGCCTGCGTCTTCTTCGCCACCCACGAGCCCTGCTCGCTCTGCCTCAGCGGCATCGCCTGGTCCGGCTTCCGCGAGGTCTACTACCTCTTCACCTACGAGGACAGCCGCGACCTGTTCGCCATCCCGCACGACATCGACATCCTCGACGCCGTCTTCCGCGTCCGCGCCGAGGGGGAGCCCGACGACGCCCTCGCCCGCCGCCCCCTGTACAACCGCGCCAACAAGTTCTTCACCGCCCGCAGCCTCGCCGACCTCGTGGCCGACCTGCCCGAGGGCGAGCCGAGGGCGCGCTGGGTGCGGGAGACGGAGCGCGTCAAGGGGCTGTACAACGCCTTGAGCGACACGTACCAGGAGGGGAAGAAGGCCGGCGCGACGAGCTCTAGCGTGTGGAAGTAGTAGCGCCGGCGCCGGCGGCGGCTTTTGTCTGGGGTCTCGTGACGGCCAATACTAAACGGTTTGCTGCTGCTGTATCGGCGCCGTCGACGGGCCGGCCGGTCGATTCCCAGCAATGCTTGGACCGAGCTGGAGCTTCTAGGTCCAGGCTAGCAGCAACATGGTCTCGCCGGCGTCGGAGGCTAGGATTATTCACAGTTATTGTCGGCAAGACTCGTTTCCCGGTTGTCTTTTAGTCGTGAAGCAAAAAGCCACGCCAAACGTGACTCTGAACCTGGCCCCTTTCCTCGCGTAGACAAGCAAGCCATGCACCCCCCTCCATAGTCTAGGTCAAATGGAATCCAAACCAGCCAGCCCTCTTCACAAAGGAAAGGCCACGAGTCCTCCGTGACGGCCTGGCCTGGGGGAAAAAAAAAAGGATTCCTGCAATGATCCACGGCGCATGCGGCACCAGCCATTGCAGAGCGGGGGACCGCGAACAAGGGACCGTTTCTCCGAGGCAGCAGCAGAAGCAGCAAGGTAACGCACCTCTCGCCCTTTTCAACATGCCTAGGGATATCCTTACGATAACCCTCCCCCGCTCGCTCTTGAAGATTCCCTCCCTTGACTCTTCCTGACAGCCACAGCCAGAATCAGGAAGGACACATCGCACTGTGCCGACGATGCAGCGGTCGCGGACCAAGCACATTGCGGCGGATATGCATGGCGGGGTAACCAGAGACCAGCCCCTGTCGATGAAGTACTATACTTCTACCTATACCCGTACTTGTATACCTCGAGTTCTTCACGCCCCCCCCCCCCCCCCCAATTGGGTCTTCAGCGGAGCAGAGAAGCAGATGTCATTGGTCAAAGGACACGTCGCTCCCATGTGGCGTGGCCCCGCGGCGGCCATCAGAACAGGTTGCCACTCGGTACGAAAGGCAGGCGCATGCGAGGTTTGCACAAGCGTGTCCTCGGGGCATGCTGCGGAACGGGCTCGCCCGGAGCGATGGCCTGGCGAGCGAGGGTACGGATGGACTGAGAGTGATGGTAATGTTGATGGGCTTCTTCTGCTGGCCGGATCGGCCGGGCTCGTTCCCAGCTGGAAGGGTGAAGGGGAACATGTTTGCCAAGTATTACGAGCCCTGCTGCTGCTGCTGCTGTGCGAGCCATGAGGACCCTGACGATACCCTCGGAAGTGCAAGACGTTGCATGATGAGACTAGACGATGGATAGACGATGGGCCGATTCACTGGCGAGAACCAAAGAGCACAATAGAACACAGTAGAGCAGAGCAGCGAAGATGGAAATGCGGGAAACCCTCCATTCTCCTCCCCCACCCGCCCCATGCATGACATTGGATGGCGGGACAGTTTGTCCGCAACTGACAAACTCCTCATCCTCCCCTCCCTGTCGCCATGCCATGTCTTCTTGTTCGTTCTCCAACAACCCCTCCTCTTGAGACTGCGTGCATCAAAACCCCTCAATCCGTAGTATCCCGGCGGATATTATCAACACATGCTGAGCATCGCGAAAACCCGCCCCCGCTAACCATCCGCCGCGCCCACTGCATGCCAACGACGCGACAGCCGCTGCCAGAGCAGGGTGAGCAGTGCAGTATCCAGAGAGGGAGGGAGGGGGGGGGGGGGGGGGGAGTGTGCAGCGGACGTGATGAGTTCCCTTTCTCGAAACCCGAAAGAGGTGATTCGGTGACGACGATCCCGTCAGTTCAGCTGTGTGTGTGATGGTTCTGTGATGCCCGTGATGGGCTTCTACCATGTGTATAGTTCTATCCGTACGCTGCCATAACCTGGACGAACGCTTGGAACGGGCCGTCACAGCACTGGCAGCAGGCTTGTTCCATGCTTTTCCTCCCACCTTCTTGTACCTATACAATGTAGTATACCGGGGGGGAGGGGAGGGGATATCTTGACCCCCAGGGGGGCCCTGAAGGTGCGCGAGAAATGACGCAAGCTCGCAAACGTGTGTGTGTATGTGTGTGTGAGTGTGAGTGTGAGTGTGCACCGCACCAGGTCAGCCTGCCATTCTCATCCCCCGAAATAACGGCTTGCTTCGGAATGCCGTGTGCTGATTGCTAGACTGCACGGCGTCTATTCTCTGCGTGTGCCGCGCTCTGCATCGGCGTGGTTTGGTTCTGCACTGCACACGCCAATGCAGCACAACCCGGGTTTCGGGTGTTGGTTTAGCAACTCACGGGTAGGGAGGGCACTACAGACAGGTTCGTTGGATGGGCAGAGTCGGTCGCACCGCATGTCAGAGCAAAGTGGTCAGCTTATGTCGGAGCCTCGGGTTGGTTCTGTCTGTCCGTCTGTCTGTCCATCTGTCTGTCTGGCCATCGTTGGGCGTAATACCCGTCGTATGTGCCCGTCTGAGAGAGGCTGAGCCGGTTACAATGACTCTTACTGCTTGCTTGCTGTACGGATACAGGTGGAGGAATAGAGCGGCATGTCTTGACACACCACGGTGGGCGATCATGTCAGTCGCGCCAGGCCGAACGGGCGGGCAAAGCAGGGTTCACGTTCGGCATTAGAAGGAATGGAACACTTGGCTACGTACAGAGCTTTGCCTGCCATCATCGGCGTCGACCCGTCCAAGGTTTTACCCCCTCCTCGAGCCAACCCCCTCGTTCAGTGGGTAGCTTGCCCCTCTCCCGTTTCAATACCCCGGTTGGACGGGTCCTTGGCGGGTCTCTCGATAGGCCATCGATCTCAGGTCTGTACGTGATGTGATTGGGTTACCCCATGATGGCCAGTCGGGGGTGCTCAAACCCTTTGTCCTATCATCAAGAAGCTGGCGCGACTGCTTTAGCACGGGAGAAAACCCCCCTATGGTGAGAGTCGTCGCCTAGTGTATAATGAGGGAGAAGCAACCCTGAACCACGACGCCAATGCTGGCGCTGCGCTGACGCATGTCTCGAATGTCTTCCCAGCCTCATGTGAGCGACCAACGCCGTTGCAAGGGAGGGGAGGCGGCATCAGAGACACCAGCGCACGCAAGGGTGCGATCAAAAACCAAACGCAACATCACTGTCTCTCACCTCTATGAGTGAATCCTTGCAAGTTCAGCCTCTTGGGTATCAACCTCTAGACACGCATGTCCTGGCCTCTTCCCGCCTCGATCCTATCCGAAGACTGACCAACACGTAACCTCGGATTCAAAGACTGATATGCCATTGCCGTCAGTCATACTGCATCTTCCCGTTGACATCCCACAGCCCTCCCCCGCCTCGTAAGGCGACCAGCTACACCATGGCAATCTGCGGCCCACGGACGGGCCCATCTGGCCCCCAAACCTTGCCCGTCTTTTGCGTCCCCCTCCCGTCCAGATCCGAAATGTGCACTTCCCAGGCTAAAAACAGCGCCAAAAATAGCCATCCATCGAATCATGGAGCAAGCCACCGTCACACCAGAGGTTGCTTCGCGTTCGGGAGTACCTCGCATCTTCTTCACGCAACCAACTGATGTATGTATTCACAGCATCCAGCCATCTCGCTGCGGACCGGGGAGAGAAGATTAATCACAAAGTGACTGACTACACTGAGACCTCCCTACCCAGCAAACAGCCTCCAGCCCCCTCCCCTAACCCCTGAGGGGCGTCTAAGAAAAGAATACCAAACCGCCACCTAAATGAAGACGGCGTGAAAAGCAAGCTGACAGCTAGCAGCTAGGGGGGAACGTGGTGTGCCGTGTGCCCTGACTGCCGACTGCCATGCCACATCGAACGTGATTGGAGGGCGAAGCGCTGAGCAGTTCCCGGCACATCTCACATCTCGTCCGGACTCATGTCTCTCTCTCTCTCTCTCTCTCTCTCTCTCCCATCCGGGACAACCCTGTCCTGTCCCCCCCCAGCCTCGCCGAATTTCCTTTTGTTTCCTACAACTGCCTATATCGTGGCTGCATCCAACAGACATACAGGCCCTGGAATCAAGGTGACAGATCGGGTGGGAAGAAGCAAACGGTCACCACACGCTCTCTCACACAATCACACGCTCATACACTCAACCCGCACACCCACGCCTCCTATCCACCCCCCCTCCCCCCGCCGTGCCGCCCAAACGCCCGCCGCGGGAGACAAGAAGCGCCTCCATCACGAACTCGTCACACCGAGCCCTCCCGTTGCGACGCTCGGGGTCACTGGCCCGTGCCATGTACGTCCCTATTTCCCGTCTACTTTCCCGTCACGCAAGGCTCCAGTGGCGGCGCAGCCCTTGTCGCGGGAGGGGTTTGTCAAAAAAGGGTGCACAAACCAATCTAAATTGCCCCAAACCAATGTCGCCCCGGACGCAGGTGGACGACGTTTGCTACTCAGGTTGAGTATGCTCCCGGGACGGATATGGGATCGCGGTGGCACCCGGGCGATACCAAGAAGCACCCTTCTGCGAGATTCACCGTGTACCACGTCAAAACCGGCCCAGAGCACCAAAAGAGGCGCTCGTATCGAGTGGTACGTCCACGATATGGTGGCAGTGCAGGGCCCCCCACCCCCCTCGCTCGCCACCTGGCCGTATTGGCAATATAGATCTCGAATGTTTGGGTCGGCCTGCCGCATCCTCGGCGGATACACAAGGCCGATCAACAAGTTCCCGTTTGGGTTCTGGATCATGTAAACTGCCGCACCCAAGGCATGTCTTGTTTGTCTACCAGGCCGCCGAGAAGCAACCCCCCCCTCCCCCTTGATCTATTGATTGGTTTGTACTTGGCGCCGCAACCGGATCGGAAAAGAAGAAAAGGGCGGGCGTCCCACGCCGGTCCGATCGGCACGGGGCACACGGCCCCTTCAGCGCCGGCGTTTCGTCTCGGAGTCCCGCCTCGACCGAGCCTCCCCCCTCTGTCTCAGCCTCCCGGAAGTCGTCATGGGCCAACTTCAGTGACTCGTGTGTAAGGACAGACAGGCAGAACCCGAGAGGCTCAGGAGCTCCGCCTTCCTCGAAGAAAGACAAGGCCCAGCTGACGAGGACGAGTCTCAACCCGGGCTGGCTGGCGGCACATGACGTCCGTCTCGCAGGGCCCGCCCGTCACCCGTGATGATGACTACCCAACCTCTCGCCGCGCCTCCTCCCGTGCGGTAAATCTGAATGACGGACTGACTGACTGACTGACGCAGTTCCCGCCTCCGTGCAGGACAGCAAAGGGCGCGCGCGAGAACACAGCGCACTACTATCCCGCGCGCGTGGTGCGCTGCTCGGACCGCCGCCGCGAGGCAGCAAACGCACGCACGCTTGACATGCATGCACAAGCAAACAGAAAAAAACTGTCCAACGAAACGGCCGTGCCAACCCACCACCCACACGTTTGCCTTTTTTTGCTTTTTTCCATCCCTTTTCCATCTGAACCATGCCTCTCTTCCAAGGGAGCAATAACGTATGCTACAGCTGGCAGCCGTGCGGTGCAGCAAACGGCCCCGAGATGGGACGCGCGCTCCCTGCCATACTAGACGCACACACATGGCCCATGTCCCGGCATCTATCCCGTCCCGTGGGCAAAGCTTAGGTCGGTCTGCGATTCCGCTGTGGCTGGCTGGCTGGATTGGAAACGCATAAAATCAGAAACTTGATAGGGGGGGAGGAGGAAAAAGAAATGGAGAAGAAACAAGGGGAAAAAAAAAGAAAGAAACACGGGCACCCACACGCATGTTGCGAGGTAGAAGCGAGACACAAACGCAGAGTACACACGCCTGCCTCTCTCTCTCTTCCTTTCTCCCTCTCTATGTGTATGTCTACCGTCGACCCGCGATCAAAACGCGATCCGCGCACGGCAAGACACCTTCCCGGTCATCATACTACAAACGCCTTTTGATTCTATTTCTTCATGCCCACGCTCGCTACCATCTCCCTCTCCGAGCGAGCCACCTTTCAGCGAAGAATTCTTCCTCTTCCCAAGTCGGATCATCCTCATTCTCTCACCCGCATCGGAAGACGACATCCGATGATATCGCCGAGGCAGAGGTCGGGCGAGGGGGTGAGAGCTTTGCGTCGAGACGGCTCGACCCCCCCTGTGGAACGTCAATCCAGGCCTCATACATGCCTGTTGGGCCCAGGCATGCCAGTCATGTCTTACGAAAACGAAAACGTGAGCCCTATCGGACTTGTCTGTCTCGACGCCTGACCGTATGTGTGTGTGTGAGTGTGTGCGTGTGGCTGAGATTCTCTGATATATGGGGAAAAGCATTCCAGCGCGGCCAGCCCAGAGCCTCACTCGACCTTCTCAGTCTCGAGTCTCAGACTCATTTTGCCGTCTCGCAAGGAGGGGCGTGTATGTGTGTGAAGACCCCCCCCCCTCCTGACGAATGCCAGAGGACCCTTGTGTTTGAGACAGCCCAATACCCCCCCATGGTGATTGAAATGTATTTTCTTTCTACTAGAGTTGCTTACCCTAGCCCCGTGGCCAAAAGGGCCGTGACTACGCCATTGCCGAATGCCAGCCCAGGCCTGGTCAGAAATGACGGGCAATAGGTATGCAAGTGATATGAGCCCTCTAGATGATCCCCGCCGTGTGTCCCGGCACCCGCCCCTCTCTTCACCCCGTCTATCCACCCACCGCCCATCCCCTCCCCTCTCCCGTCTCCTCTCCCTCACAAAGATAGAAACCCGTCCCATTCGCGATTCCGCACAAAAAAAAGAAGGGGAAAAGAAAAAAGAACAACTCCAGACAACTGAGAACTCTCCCCGGTGTGACGTCGTGCCTCGCGATCTCTCCCCCCATCCCCCCTAGTCGCATGAACGTCTCGGTCCGGGGGTTTGTTTGTGGAGAGGCCGAGGGGGACACATCGCGGAGCAGGGAGGCTGGTCGCGCCCAAGGATGATGACCTCATACCCTAAAGAAAGGGGGGGGCTTGTCATTTCCGCGAACCAACGACCCATTGCTGTTACTGTTACTGTTGCTGCCGCCAACGTTCGTGGGTCAGGCTGTTTAGTTCGCAGCGAGAGAACAACCCACGGGGAACCAACCGCCATTGACAGTCATACCTATGTGATGATGACCTTGCCGTCCTCCACGTCTCCCGTCTTCTCTACCTGTAAATCGACACCCCAGTCACGATGCAAGAGGCACACTGTTGTTTATGAATGCTACTGTTTGATGTCTGATTTCTAAGCTACTCTCCGGCTCCCTCCGGCCCCGGAGCCAATAATAAGGAAAGGAAGGGGTATATCCAGCACTCCGTAGTCTTCCTGCTAGAAAAGAAAAGTCTTCGACTCTGCAATGATATCGAGTCGTGCGAACATGTTGTAATAGATGCGCCTCCAGTGCGGCCGACATGTGTTGCAAGCTGCAATCCGAATAAGACGAAACAAAAAACTTGCCAAATCCCTTTCCTGTCTAAACCAATCAAAACAAGTCATCGTTGCGTCCGTGCAAGTCGACGACGGTATTACATATAAATGCTGTTTCCCTGCTGCGCATAAAATAGACGACGGCGAGGGTCAGGTCCAAGAGTGAACGGCTGGACCTCCCAGTCAAAACAAAATTCGAGTTCCACGCGCGTGCTGTTTCTTTCCCATGACCGGACCGTGGTCCAGTCTCGCGTAATGATCATGTCGCAACCAAAGCATGCTTTTGATGTCCATCCCTCTAACACACAAGGGCGATGATGCCGTGCGTTCGTTCGTTCGTAGTCGTTCTCGTTCCCGTGTAGGTTCGGGCCCGTGTGGTATCTTGGGTATCGCAAAGAAAAATCCTTGGTGTGTATCCCCGATGCATAACAGCTTGCGCCAGATTATGTTTATGGTGATGATAAAAGAGAGAGAAAAAATCCAGATCCGGAGACTAAGGTAGAGAAATGGATGAGGAAACACTCCCTAGGAAAATGAGATCCGGTAAACAAATCCCTAATCGTACAATCGGCAACTCCCTCCGTCGGTTCGATGTGGGTTTTCTTGGTGTCGTTGTTATTGTTTTTTCTTCTTCTTGTTAATGGTATAATGAGCACTCCCGGTCCTAGTGGCAGTCCGCGGGCAGTTCCATGGGGTGAAAGAAATCCGCCCTTGGCATGATTGTGGCAGATAAAAGAGACCAGGCAGGAAGTTTCCACAGGGAGAGACAGGCATGTCCTCTATTTGGTCGGGTTCCGGAGAATGTCCTCACAGTTGGCGTCGAATCTCAGGTTGAAGAGACGGACACCCTGCATGAAGCGCTCCGTCTTGTCCAGCTCACGCTCACGGCCAAACAGAGTCTCGACGAACTCGACACCGGCGTTCTTGCCGAGCTGGGAGTTACCCTTTTTGCTGGCGGCCTTCAGCATGGGCGACTCGCACGTCTTCAGCAGCTTGCGGAGCTTGTCAGTGAGGCGCTCGCCCGATTCAATAAAGTCATCGATAAGTTCCCTGTTCTCCTTGCAGCGGACGCGTTCGACCGTCTCCTCGGCACGCTTGATCTTGCCGGCCAACTGGATTAGCAACAGCCAGAGCTCGCCTGCCATGTCTGAGATGGGGGTGGCAGGTCCGTGGTGGTAGACGGTCCAATCGTAGATCCACTTGCCCAGGGAGTTGGAGTCGAAGACACTGCCAAGCAGGAGGATGGGCTCCTCGGTGGGGTCCCAGTTCTTGAGGGAGTAACCGGGAGGGATCTTGTGCTTCTTGGCATCCAGCTCGTTGGCCTGACGAGGCGGAGGGGGCTTCTTGGCGTGAGAGCTGGCGGGACGGGTGGTGGATGGCCGCTGGGGCACCGAAGCCGAGGAACGACGGGCATGGGTGCTGGCCGCGGGGCGAGGGGCGCGCGGGTCATAGGGCTGGGCCTCGCGCTCAATGTAGGCGAATCCGCTCTGTGTGGGGTGGTGGTAATCAGTTGCATATCCTCTCCAGGCGTCTTGATAATGATAAGTGTCTTGAACGGAATGCCTCTTTGCCCTCTGGCGCGACTGTGCCTGAAGCACGTAGGTACGGCCATCCACCTCGATGACCTCGTCCTCGTCGGATTCTCCGTGGGGCGTCGAGGCCCGTACATAAACATAAGAAGATCGGCGCTCGCGCTTTGGTTGCGACGGAGTGGCCCATGAATGCTTGCGCGAATGATGACCACTACTCACATTTGCCGTGGCATAGTAGCCATCGCTCGTGTATCGAGGCGACGCCGTCGGCGGACGGGGACTGAACTCGCTGGGGTTGCGGAAGTGGGCGCGGGTGGCCGGCCTTTGGGGCGTGGCGCCGGGGTAGTAGTAGGATGAGGGGCCCCGAGGGGAGGGAGTTGGGGTTGCCGACTGGTATCGTTCCTGGGTGTAGTAGTACTCCTCGCCGGGAGTCGACCCGTAGGGGGATGAGTAGTTTGCCATTTTGCGTGACGGTTCTCTCTCTGTATGTTCGTCGGGGGCGTCCGATGATGTCTTGTTATTTCTTCTACTCGTCCTTCTCTAGCAGCTTCGTCTGCTAGGTTTCGAGAGATCCCCCCAAAATGTCGTCGATGGTTGCGTTGTTGGTGATGTCTGATGCCAGGGCCAGGTTATCGCGCCGATGTCGAGGCACGAAAGAAGGTGAAGCAAGTCACCTTGGTATGCGGTGGGAAGATGGAGGAGAAGGAATGTGTTTTCTGTAGCCGAACATGACCAGGTTTGATATAACTGCTGCAAATTACCCTCGCTGACCGGGGATGGAAGACCAGATTACCGAGCACGAAAAGAAGCTTCTCGACCTCGGAGGTGTGCGGTAGAAGATGCTGGGGGCTTCTGAGAAAAAAAAAAAAGCTTGCCAGCAACCAAAGTGTCGTCAATGACGTACTGTTGGGATTTGTTGGGTTTGAACGTCGTTTTGTCAAAGATTTATTATTGATTGGCAGAAGCCAAAAACATGAGAAGAGAGGAAAACTGGTAAGAGTGGTGAGGGAGAGGGCCTATTTAATTTACTACATGTGCCCAGTTTTCTTCTGTGGGCGAAGAAGAGGGAAGGTGTGCGTCGTCCCACCTAAGGGGGGGGGGGGGGGGGTGAGAATGGTGCTTTTCACAGGTCGGTGGGTCCAGGAGGAGGAACCATACTAGGGCCCTTATCCCTGCTTTGTATGCACGAGAGAATGACAAGGAACAGGGGTGCGACAGTAGAGGCTGACGCACACGGATCCTGTGCCCAATTTAGGGAGAGACACAGACAGAAAGTTTCTTGGTTGGGGGTGTGTCGATAGGAAGGTACTTTAACTACATTACACTTACCCAGCCAAGGTAGGCAGCTGAGGGTACCTACGTACCCACGGCTCCTGCCCTCCCACCTCCCAGAAAAAGAGAGAGAGGAGTATTACTCACCCCCCGGTCCTTCCGTGGATTCGTAAAGAATTGCTGATTAACTCTAGTGAACGGATACGGAGTACGGATACACTCTGTCTGGTTGGTGAAGGAGGCGTGTAGTCTACCCACCTACCCAAGTAGATGGATGTTCCAAGGCGCCCAATCGAACAAGACCTACTCTACTCCTCGACTCTGGACTCCTACACAACACCAGCCACACACACTGTGTCCATGTCCAAGATGCCTTTCCACCACACACGTCGGGTGCGCTTGCCCTTCTCTTGGCTGTGAGAGAGGCTGTTGTTCACCTCGCCGTCGCAAACCAATCGACGGCCCGTCTTCCGGCCTTGGACTGCTGTTCGTGCGACTATTGTAAGTCTCTCAAGCCAGGTGGAAAAGCAAGCAGCGACTCAGATGCTCAGACTGTCCAGACCAGCGAGCGCGCGCTTCACTTCAGCCAGCTGTCGCAACGCACCGGTGCACAATCCAATCAGTCCACTTCGCAACTTTAAACTCCCATCCACTTGTCGGTCCGCCTGTTCGCCCGGATGATAACAATGACTCCTGTCGCCCGCGCTCCCTGTCTTGCGCGAAGGAACCCTTCAGCCGTCCGCCCGTGTCAGTCAATCACTATTGCGCAAGCCAGCGTAATCGGGGCATCGCTCAACCCACTTGCGCTTTGGTTTGCTGCTGACTCGACAGAACCCCCTGGAAATATACACAATAGCTGGTAGCCAAACATCTGTCTGGAATAAGGGGAGGCGGCGAAGAATGCACCTCGTCGTCGTCGCCCTGGCTGTTTCGTCGTTTGCAATGTACTACAAAGTATGTAGTCGCCCTGTGTGCCATGTAAAAGGGCTGGGATTCCCAACGCTGGGCTCCTACGTGCGCGCGCAGAAGAGGGCTGGACCCCTTTTGATTGCTTTTTCGATTGTTCGAGTCACCGCCTGTGCTACGCACACTTACATACACACACCCCCTTTTTGTTCCTCTCTTGCTTGGCCGCGGGACGTGTCTGATCTCCGTCTTACTCTCTCAACCTTCCGCTTTGGTGTTCGGCGCGAGGTGGAATGGGAATGAGTGAACTGCCTGCCCGAAGCGGCGCGGTTGACACCTTGACACTGAGAATTGGCCACACCGGTATCAAAATCCCGTTACCGCTTGTGATGATGATGCCAGCCCCGGGGGGGGGGGGAGCGATGGGCACCTTGGGTGAGAGGGACCCGCGACTGGGAGGCCTTGTCGTTTCAATGAGTCAACGCCAACGTCTGTGAGACCCCCCTCGGCTGTTTGTTCCTAGTCGCCGGGAGAAAGATAGAGCTCTACGAATACGTCTTGTACAGGTAAGGGTCCGTAGTAGCGTACGAAGTAACCGCTGCCGTGTGGGTAAATTTGCCGGCGATGGGTAACCGAGATTGGCCCTTCGCACGAGCGGACAAGCGTGCGGAATCTGGGTAATTTGGAGATGGCTTCCACCGCAAATAAAAACAAGACTAAAACTTTACCCAGTTGGTGCCGAGGCGTAGCGGCACCTCTCACCGGGCCCAAGAGTGTGCCACTGAAACCGCCCAGGTGAAAATTTTTATCGGTCCCCTGGCGTGACGTGGCTGGCCTCTGTCCGCCTCTGGTCCTTGACCGCCGTCCAGCACAGGGTCGCGATTATCGAGAGAAGAGTGAATCACACCGTGTCCAAGGTGAAGGCAGCCGAAACACGAGCCAGCCTGACTGCCGATTGAGAGCCGGGGGCGCCAACCCAGCCACCAGTGCTGGTATGGAGAGGATACCGTTGTATGTCGCTGCAATATCAATCAGATTCCTCGAGTACGAGCAGAACCGCCGCAGGAATTTGGCCGACGACGGTAGGTGGGAGTCGGAAAAGAGTCCAAAATGCATGCGCCTCGGTGTGAGGTCACAAAGGAGGAATGACCAGCGAGTCTTGGCTTGCTAAGGGGGGTGGGGGCGTCGTTGGTGCCATAATGTTTTTGCGTGTGTTGTGGTCGCGCGGCCAGGTGCTGCCTTCGGCGCGCGCTCGGTGAGGCGGCGCGGTTCACACGGACTCGCAAGGTGAGGGTGATGCTGGCCAGCAAGGGGCCTGGCAGATGTCGGTCTGGAGCCCTTGCATTTTCTTTTCAGAGTTTTTTTCTCTTGCTTTCTTCTTTTCCTGTTTCCCCCCGTCTCAGGGGAAAATATCCATCGCTTTTGCAGGACGCTCCGTCTCCGGGAGCCGCAACGTTTCTGCAAACTGGTAGGGTAGTTAGACACTGTATTGAGACTTGTACGGTAACATTCGCCGGGTCGACGGATTGAAGGGCCTAGGACTTGGGAAGTTCCTGCGTACCAAGAGATAGAGACCGTAAAGTGTATAACTAGTCGACCGGCTAGCACGGACGTTGTCAGGCGTTGAGGCGAAGTCGACGCTTCGGTCCTATGGTAGACGAGATCTGCCGACACTCAAAATGAGCCACTCTGGTCTGTGTGGTGTTGTTGACGGTTCGAGGAGTCTCGCTAATGTTGACGCGGTCGATGCGAGAGCGATCAACTGGGCAGGCCTAGCATGGCCGGCTAAGTGCGGAGGGGGAGGTTGGAGGTGATGAATGCATGTGTTGGCGCTACGATGCAACAACAAGCCATCTCTCTGCTTGATGGATGCTTGACTGGCTGGTACGACCCGAGCGAACGAAGAGCCAGGGGTAGCAGGCGGCGGCGGCGACGACGATGTTGGCCTGGATCAGGTCGCGTGTACATGTGGGAGTATCCGTAGGCAGTAAACAGGATGACGAGGCTGTTCGGTGATGACGCTCTGGCAAATGACAGTTGGCGACGGCGACGACCGGAGAAGAAGGCAAGGTGTGCGCCTGAGGCAAGTGGTCGAGAAAGGAGTCAGGTTAGTCAGACAGAGAGGCTCTCTTATCGAAGCCAAAGTCGTCATGCAGGACCCAAACATGGGAAACCGATACACACGCACACACTACAGAAAACAGGCAAGAGGGAACACAGGGCAGCAGGATGGATGGATGTCAGACATAGACAGACAGTCAGGTGCAAGTACACCTAAGAGCCCAGAAAGGGCCTGGCGGGGGGGAAGTTGACTCGACGGTTGCACAAGCACAAGCACTTGGAGACCTTGCATGCACGATCGATCACGTTCAACGATGGAGGGGTGTCGAGAGGGATGACGAGCATCAAAGTGCATTTTCTTTTCATCGGATTCGACACGATATACCCCGTACTCTAGCGTGATTTGTTCACTCGTCTGCTTCCTTCCCTGCGCCATCCCAATTTTGGGGTTGGGGTTGGGGTAAGGGTAGGGGTAGGGCGCAGAGCAGCGCGTATTGGACGGGGAAGAGAGAATGAGGGTGGGTGAGGGTGATGAGGATGAAGATGATGATGAAAGTGCACTAGGTACACTGCCCATATTCACACCCTCGTGGATTGCACCAGTCAAAAGGAGGCTCAAGTGTGATGCAGCAGCAGGTGATGGGAGGCATGACTTGCAGCCATCAATCAGACCGTGTTCTGTCTTGATCAAGTGACCGACCAGCAAGCGCCGGGCGGCGAGGAGGGTGAGTGACGATAGGTGAAGCTGCTCGCTTGTACGGGGTATAGTACTACCGTAGGTATACGGATACTCCGTATCCGTATCCGTACTCCGTACTTGGTATGGGATTGGAAAAGAGGATAGGTATTATCCGAAGTTCATGCCTGGAGTGTAACGGTTCGCTCATCACATGCACCCCAGCGCGGGGGGTAACAGCAGAGCGGAACATGCAGAATTCAGAACTGCCAGGAAAGGCGGCCCCTCTCTTTCCAGAAAGGCACATTTACAGGGGATGGGACGGGGCCAGCCAGCTCGCTCGCTCAGTCATGTCATCCCTTCCCGTCCAGGCGTCCAAGCGTCTAAATTATTACCTACCAACCCAGTACGGATAAGGTGGCAGGGGTGGGAAGGATCGGCTCTGCACACCTGCAGGTTTTTGCTGTGATTTGATTTCTCTTCGGTTTATCCAAGGTACGGATACCGTCGATAGATACGTATCCACCCATGACCCACTTTGCCACAC